CAGACATGAGAAGATGTAGGAAGCTAGTTTGGCTAATTAGATCCTGTTCTGACGTCTGAAAAGACCAGTGGAATTAACATATACATTCATGGCCTGTTTTTACAATCTCTTAAATAGGTAGCATTTATTTAAGTAGTATAATAAAAGAGTAATTATCTTTTAGTCCTGAGAAGAGTTTGCTTGTGACTCAACATTAAGAAATGCCTTACTTAACTCACTTCATTAACTATTCAAAGGAGGAAACTGATATGCTCATCTAAATAGATTTTTTTTTTTTTTTGAGACGGAGTTTCGCTCTTGTTACCCAGGCTGGAGTGCAGTGGCGCGATCTCGGCTCACCGCAACCTCCGCCTCCTGGGTTCAGGCAATTCTTCTGCCTCAGCCTCCTGAGTAGCTGGGATTACAGGCCCCCGCCACCATGCCCAGCTGATTTTTGTATTTTTAGTAGAGACGGGGTTTCACCATGTTGACCAGGATGGTCTCGATCTCTTGACCTCGTGATCCACCCGCCTCGGCCTCCGAAAGTGCTGGGATTACAGGCGTGAGCCACCATGCCCAGCCCTAAATAGATTTTTAAAAATCTAACAGAATTCAACATTTTAAAAACTTTATTAAGGAAACTTTCAACCACACAAATATGAAGAGAGGACAGTATAACCAACCCTGTGTTAGTCAACTTCAATAATTACTAACATTTGCTGCTTTTTAATATTCATATTTTATTAACACTTGGTTCCCCTCAGGCTCTTGCCTTTCTCCACAGAGCAGCATATACAGTATGGATGATCACGCCCAACACTACACACTTTAACATTTAGCGAGGGAGTGAAAGCCATTCCCACTAATTTAGAATTTTTTTGCATAGAAAGGTGAGAGATTGTTAGTAAACTTTTCCAGGAATAGCATGTATTTCTATACACTTGGTTATCAAATCTCTAAATTATTTAAAATGTCAAAATTATAGTTCAGTAAACATGAATACAGTCTTAATAATATTCTCTTCTAATTTAGTCCGATAAAAGACTTTCATGTTCGGCCTGGCGTGGTGGCTCACGCCTGTAATCCCAGCACTTTGGGAGGCCAAGGCGGGCGGATCACCGGAGATCAGGAGTTCGAGACCAGCCTGACTAACATGGAGAAATCTCGTCTCTACTAAAAATACAAAATTAGCAGGGTGTGGTGGCGAGCACCTATAATCCCAGCTACTCAGGAGGCCAAGGCAGGAGAATCACTTGAAACCGGGAGGCAGAGGTTGTGGTGAGCCGAGATCGCACCACTGCACTCCAGCCTGGGCAAGAAGAGCGAAACTCTGTCTCAAAAAAAGAAGAAAAAAAGATTTTTATGTTCAAAAAAAGATAATGTTTTAATATATCTAATCTTTTTAGCAATCTTCAAAAAGGTCTAAGTCCATCAATAAGTGAATGGATAAACAAATAGTTACATATTGTGACATATCAATATGGCCGGGCGTGGTGGCTCATACAAAACAGTTATGCTATGTGAAGGACACCAGACCAAAAAAAAAAAAAAAAATAGACGTTGTGTGGTTCCTGTTACATAAAATTCAAGAAAATGCAAATTAATGGATATAGAGAGAAAGCAGGTCAGTGAGCACCCTTAGCACCCAGAGCAGGGGCAACAGAAGAGAGATTCTCAAGCGGCAGGATTTTGAGAAAACTTTCGAGGGTGATAATGTGTTCATCATCTTGGTTGTGGTGATGGCGTCCCAGGTACACGTCAAAACTTATCAAATTATACACTTTAAACATGTGCAGTTTATTGGATGCCTGTTAGACCCCAATAAAGATGTTTTTAAAAATCTATACGATTCCAGAGCTTTCCAGTCTCAAAATTTTAAAAAAGTATAAGAACAGACTGGGCGTGGTGGCTCATACTTGTAATCCCAGCACTTTGGGAGGTCAAGGCAGGCAGGTCAGGAGTTTGAGCTCAGCCTGACCCCCATATCTACTAAAAATATAAAAATTAGCCAGGCATGGTGGCAGGCACCTGTAATGCTAGCCACTTGGGAGGCTGAGGCAGGAGAATTGCTTGAACCCGGGAGGTGGAGGTTGCGGTGAGCCGAGATCGCACCGTTGCACTCCAGCCTGGGTGACAAGAGCGAGATGCTGTCTCAAAAAAAAAATTGTGTAAGAACAGACTTTGATAGAATTTCCCTTTCGCTTCTAATGGCTATATTTGGCTCTAAGCAATCTTTTGAGGTTCTCTAGAGTTAGCTCACTCAGTCATTAGAGTTCTTCCAGATATTTACAAAGAGATAGATGCGTATGAACAAATAAAATATGCTTATGACATAGGGCTAGAGGGTTAAAATTTGTAAATTTTTTTTAATGTTAATAAGTTAGCACAGCTTATTTTAAACCATGCAAATAGTGAAAGAAAGCCTGCTTCACTGGAAATGCTATCTTCCAGAAACCTCCAACGCACAGCAAAACACTAACAGCCGTCTCATTAAAGACCGTCTTGAAGAAGACAAAGATGCCTAGTACTATTGCTACTTTTCAATATTTACTCAACTTCCTGGCCAATGAAATAAGACCAGGGTAAGAGCAGATACCTTAAAAAGGTACAGGCAGCAAAGAGACTAGTGTGATTATTTATAGACCGTATGATCATCTAATTAGAGAATCAACAGAAAAATTACTGGTACTATAAGAGAATTCAGTGTAGTATTCTTAGCCTTCCTATATGCCAAAATATCTATTTAAAAAACACAGTTGGGTGCCAGGGGAAGATGTCATTTATGACAGCAGCAAAAATTGTTCTACAAAATATTCAGGAGTAAACCTATCCAAAATCTGCAAGACCTGTTTGAAGAGACCCTTACCTCACACGTAAGAGAGGATTTCAGTGAATAGATATTTCATGGACTGACTGGGAAGACCCAGCGTGGCCAAGATGTTGAAACAGAACTTCACTGAGACCTTGGGACAGCACCATGTCACAGCCCTTCCTACTTTTGGAAATTAATTAGGATATGGTTTTCTTTTATTCTGGAGACAGAGTCTCGCTGTCGCCCAGGCTGAAGTGCACAGGCACAATCTCTGCTCACTGTAACCTCCGCCTCCTGGGTTCAGGTGATTCTCTTGCCTCAGCCTTTTGAGTAGCTGGGATTACAGGTGGGCACCACCACACCCAGCTAAATTTTTTTTGTATTTTTGGTAGAGACAGGGTTTCACCATGTTGGCCGGGCTGGTCTCAAACTCCTGACCTCAAGTGATCCGCCCACCTCGGCCTCCCAAGGGATATGTTTTTTTAATGAGGCAAGTTGCATCAAAATCTCATAGGAAATAATAGTTACTGCGAGCATCTTTTGTTCAAAACATCTTGGTTTGGAGATTGTGCTGGCTTCTCCTATAGCCTCAGTGTCCTGAATTGAGTGAATGAAGTGGAACCATGGATAGGCTGTCTCCTCCACAGGTGAGATTAAGAGGTGATGCCTGGAGTCGCTTGAGCCCAGAGTTTCTGCCTTCGAAGCCATCTCCCTGTGGTGTCCATAATGCATGACTGTGGCTGACCACGTCTCTGCCTCCACCTTCTAGCTAAGTGAGCCACACCAGCTCAGCAACCCCAGCAGAGCTCTGTGGGCAGTCTCTGGATGCTGGGAACATTATTTTCACAGTGGATGAAAGAGCAGTAAAGCCCTTTGATGGGTCTTTCTTGTGGTCCTGAAACTTACATGCAAGACTAACTAAGGCTGGGGATGGTGGCTCATGCCTATAACCCCAGCACTTTGGGAGGCTGTGGTGGGTGAATCACAAGGTCAGGAATTTGAGACCAGCCTGGCCAACATGGTGAAACCCTATCTCTACTAAAAATACAAAAATTAGCTGGTTGTGGTGGCAGGTGCCTGTAATCCCAGCTACTCGGGAGGCTGAGGCAGGAGGATCATTTGAACCTGGGAGACAGAGGTTGCAGTGAGTCAAGATCACACCACTGCACTCCAGCCTGGGAGACAGGACGAGACTCTGTCTCAAAAAAAAAAAAAAAGAATAATTAGAACAAAGTCCAGTAGTATAGAGGATTAAAAAATAATAGGAACAGACAAATCTAATGTTGAACTAGAATAATAGATCCAGAAATTAATTCCAAAGTTGTATTTATGGTTCTTTAATGTGTCCTTGATATTAGCTTGCAATTAGCTCCATCAAGTGATAGTATCTAATGTAAAATGGGCTTAGCAGTTCTTTGCTTCTCATGCTGCTTTTATGTCTCTCTTCTTCCACATTCTTGGCATCCCCAACAACAGGGCAGAGGTTGAAAGACACAGATGTTTTGTGTCCTATGGCTTGGCTTCCATTGAGGTAGGCGAGGGTGACCGTCCCTGGGATGGATGACAAGACAGGTCTGGGCAGGCCACAGTCTGGCTCTCCCGCCTGGCTTCCTGGGGATAATTGAGCAATTACTCTGTGCCAGGTGGGGTTCTGAGTGCTTCCACTGCCCAATTTGGGTCACTTCTGCAAGGTGACACAGCTAGGTGACTCCAGCCACTCTGGCCTCCAGGACTGCCCTCCTCGTCTGACCTCTCCTCAGCCTGCATTAGCTGGGCTGCCCTTCCCATGTTGACCTCCTATAACTGCGTGTTGGCCTCACCGGCAGCGTCATGAAGCTGCCACCATCCCTGTTCCCCTTTGGTTCAGGTCGCAGGGACGCCTGGAGCTGGGAACGGCCTTGCTAGCACTGACCGGAGTCTTCAGTGCATGTGTGTCTGTCTCCCTAACTGAACTGTGAGCACCTAAGGCAGGGCTTTCTATCTGCTAGTTTATCCCTGGAATGCATCTTTATGCTTGGCAGAGGATGGGCATTATATGTTGGATACACTAATTGATCCTGATTCTAACCACTAAATTTTACCAGAATTAGCAAAAATGACCTGAGTATAGCCGCACTGCATCTTTTCAATGATCCAAACGGCTGACCTCTGGGCTGACGCCTTCATAACGCTGCAACCCCCTCCCGCTTTGTTCCTCTCCCTGTTGCAGCCCATGGGATCAGAGCGGATGGAGATGCGGAAGCGGCAGGTGCCCGCCGCCCCGGATGCCCCAGGCGCCGCCCCAGGCCAGCCGGGAGTGGGAAGCCGCGGGTCCAACGCATGCTGCTTCTGCTGGTGCTGCTGTTGTAGCTGCTCGTGGTAAGGTTTGGGGCTTTTTAATTAACGTGCTCGTGACTGGGAAGTGGCACCCCTGAATAGTGGCAGCCTATGGTTAATCCGGTAAGTGTTTATTAAGCAACTACTATATGCCTGATACGGAGGGACACCCCAGAAATAACAAGTCTGTCTAGCTCTCAGGGGGCTTACGCTCAGATCCCTCAAATCAGGCCAATGTGTGTTGAACAACTGGAGAACAAGCTGAGACGGTTCATGATTGATGAGCAACATTTGGGATCATCAGAAATGGTTAGAAAGGAGTGAACTCGGGCACTCCTGGGGCAATGAAGGCTTCGGATCTAAGATGGGTCTTAAAGGCTGGGGCCATGAAGTAGAGGGAGCCTGGATTGTTGCTTCCATTTCATAGATTTTGTTTTGTAATAAATAGAAATGTCAAAAGATGTGCGTTAGAGACAAATATTAAAATACATCCTAACTTACCAGGTAGAGGAAGACGCACAGTCATTGTTTTCAAAGGAAAGAAACGAAGATCAAACATCCGTGACCCTCTGAGTAGTCTGGAGGAAAGGAGATAATTTACACCTGAAAATCATGCGAACCTTGGGTTACAGCTTTTAAGTCTTAGATCTGAAAAGTGCTTAGTGCCAGCCGAATTTGTGCACCACTTCTGCAATCAAATCATCCTAAATTTATGGAGGGTTGACAGTAAGTCAGATCAAGACCTCACTGGTGGGAAAGAAAAACTGCTATTGGACTGATCACGAACCGTGACATGGAACTAACAGAGCTGATCGCTGGGGAGGAGATTGAAGGTTGAAAGTGAAATGCCCGAAGTTCGGTGGCACCTGCCCAACTCAGCTGTTAGGTATTAATTTCCAAGAAGTTCCAATCTGGAGGAAGGGACGCAGCCATCGAACATCCACCAATGAGATCCCGATACCAATGGTCTCTTCGTTCCCACAGCCAGAGGAAACGTGGCATGGGGCTGACAAGAGCTAGGCAGTGTCAAGGTGAGACTTCAGCCCCCAGTGGGAATCTGTGCAGCTCTGCAGGAACCCAGACGAGAGGCCCCGGTGGTGGGCAGAGGAAACGCGTGGGTGTCCGCGGCTGCCCTAGAGGAGGAAGACACCAGTGGTGGCCAGACTGCGTTTAGGGGCCTTCATTCTCACTCTGCAAGTAGGTCTCAGTGTGGAAATGGGACGATCCCCCGAGAGATGTGCAGGACGTTGGGGTGCAGGTGAGACTCCAGCCGCCGTTCACTCCTGCCCCTCCCTTCTTTCTCTGCTGCCTCCCCCAGGGCGTGGTAGGCTGCCCACATGCTGACCGGAACAAACATACTGTCCTAACGGTGTAAGGCTAGCGGGCTGGGCAGGTCCCAGAGCAGGCTCCTCCTACGGGTACCAAATAGAGCAAATAAAATAAGAATCTATACGGGCCGGGCGCGGGGGCTCAAGCCTGTAATCCCAGCACTTTGGGAGGCCGAGGCGGGTGGATCACGAGGTCATGAGATCGAGACCATCCTGGTCAGCATGGTGAAACCCCGTCTCCACTAAAAATACAAAGAATTAGCTGGGCGTGGTGGCACGTGCCTGTAATCCCAGCTACTCAGGAGGCTGAACCAGGAGAATTGCCTGAACCCAGGAGGCGGAGGTTGCGGTGAGCCGAGATCGCGCCATTGCACTCCAGCCTGGGTAACAAGAGCGAAACTCCGTCTCAAAAAAAAATAATAATAATAATAATAATCTATACGTAGACGCTGTCATAACCGTCATAGCCAACACTTCCGTAGCACTTGGGTGTGTGTGTAGGAGACACAATAGAGCGATGCCTTCAAAGCGCTGGAGAAAAGTAACTGAAAACTTGGTCAAACTATAATTCAAGAATGTGGGTAAAAAAAGACATTTTTCAGGCATACAAAAACCAACTGAGTTTATTGCCTGCAAACCTAAAAGAACCTAAAGAAGGGCCTACTTCCATGGGAAAAAAGTGAACCCAGAGGAAAGATCCAGGAAACGAATGGTAGATACGAAGGGGTCAGATATCGATATAAAATGTGGCATTTACTTTCGTGTTAAAAGTGTGAAACCACAGCTGCGAACAATCTCCTGGCAACAATGGACATATCAAGTAATTCAGACTTTCTTAGAAAAAAATTATTTTAAGAAAATTTTATTTCAAGAGTACTGTCATTCATAATTAGTCCAAAAATACACCATGTAGTTTTAACATCAGTGGAAGACAATACATCTAGAAAACCTACCAACATGTGACAAAAGTGGCATCAGCAAAGGGGAAAATAAACTATTCAGTAAATAGGAGGATACTCGGGATTTGACTACCAACTCAGCCTCATCACCGAGTCCCACAGCCCAGAAACCCTAAAAACCCAGGCAGACCAGGAAGATTGTTCGTCCTTCTCGGTGTCCAATATATGAAAATATATTTCTATTCTACATTGCACCATATACAAAAATCAATTCCCGCCTTTAAAAAAGGTAAACTCCAAATGGCTGAAAGGCGAAGAAGAGAACACAAGATAATGTTTGTATTTTGTGTTGTGTTGGGAAGAATTATTTTTAAAAAGAAAAAGCAAATTCTATAAAAGGAAATGATTCATAAATTTGGCTACATTAAAACATTAAGATGTGTTTAACAATAGAAAGAAAAACATGTTCACATAAAGACTCATACATGAATGTTTATAGCAGCATGATTCATAATAGTGAAATAGCGGGAGAAAAAAAATACCTGTCAACTAATGAATGAATACATAAAATAGGGTACTCCATACAGTGGAATATTATTTGGTCATAAAAAGAATGAAGTGGCTGGGTACGGTAGCTCACACTTGTAATCCCAGCACTTTGGGAGGCTGAGGCAGGTGGATCACCTAAAGTCAGGAGTTCGAGACCAGCCTGGCCAACATGGTGAAACCCTGTCTGTACTAAAAAGAAAAACACAAAAAATCAGCCAGGCGCAGTGGTGTGTGCCTGTAATCCCAGCTACTCAAGAGACTGAGACAGGAGAATCACTTGAACCCAGGAAGCAGAGGCTGTAATGAGCTGAGATCACACCATTGCACTCCAGCCTGGGCACCAAGAGTGAAACTCTGTCTCACAGCAAAAAAAAAAAAAAAGCAAAAGTTGACCCCACCAAAATATGATGCTAAGTGAAAGAAGCTAGACACAAAGAGCACACATTTTATTATTACACTTACATAAAATGTCCAGAATAGGTGAATCCATAGAGACAGAAAGTAGATGAGCCGTTGCCTAGGAATAAAGAAGATGGAGTTACTGCTAATGGTTACGGTTCCTTTTTGGGATGATGAAATGCTCTAAATCATGGCAATAGTTATATTATTCTGTAGCTATACTAAAAGCCACAGAATTATACAATTCAATTTGGCAACTTGTATAGTGTGCAAATTATATCTTCTTTTTTCTTTTCTTTTTTGAGATGGAGTCTCACTCCGTAGCCCAGGCGGGAGTGCAGTGGCGCGATCTTGGCTCACTGCAACCTCCGCCCCTTGGGTTCAAGCGATTCTCATGTGTCAGCCACCCAAGTAGTTGAGATGATGGGCTCATACCACCACACCCAGCTTATTTTTTGTATTTGGAGTAGAGGCAGGGTTTCACCATGTTGTCCAGGCTGGTCTCGAACTCCTGACCTCAGGTGATCTGCCTGCCTAATCCTCCCAAAGTGCTATTACAGGCATGAGGTGCCGTGCCCAGCCAAATTATATCTTAATAAAGCTATTTTAAAAATATATTTAACAGAAGGTACCAAAAATAAAATGAAAAGAGAAAACATACTCAGAGAAGATAGTTACAGTGCAATTAACAAATAATTCATATCCAGAATAAAGAACATTAAAATACATTAGTAAAAAATAACAACCAAAAGAGTAAGCAAATGATATGGAACAGGAAATAATCTGCTGTACTCCTACTAACAAGGATCAGATAAATGACAGTTAAATATACACCCATTTAAAACCTATACCCTGGCAGATCACCTGAGCCTCGGAGCTCGAGACCAGCCTGGGCAACACGGTGAAACCCAGTCTTTACAAAAAGCACAAAAATTAGCCAGGCATGGTGGTGCACACCTGTGGTCCCAGCTACTCTGGAGGCTGAGGTGGGAGGATTGCTCAAGCCCCAGGAAGTTGAGGCTGCAGTGAACTATGATTGCATCACTGCACTCCAGCATGTGGGACAGAGTGAGACCCTGTCTCAAAAACAAAAAGAAAAAAAGGAAAGAAAAACCTATACCCTGGAAAAACCTCTCACACCCCTGCAGAAGGAGACATATATGAGAGAATTCACTACAACATTCATCTGAGTGAGAAAAATTGAAAATGGTTCTAAAGGACATAAACAGGAGAATGAATGAATATATTGTGATATAATTACACAATGCACTACTATACAGCATTTAAATTCACACACTAGAAGAGCTAAATAAACAAATAAATAGGTTAGGCATAGTGGCTCATGCCTGTAATCCCAGCACTTTGGGAGGCTAAGGCAGAAAGATTGCTTGAGCCCAGGAGTTTGAGACAGCCAGGGCAACATAGCAAGACCCTGCCTCCACTAAAAAAAATATATATATATGTATTTAGCTAGGCATGGTGGCATGTGCCTGTAGTCCCAGCTCCTCTAGAAGCTGAGGCGGAAGGATCACTTGAACCCAGGAGTTCAAGGCAGGAGTGGGCTGTGATCATGTCACTGCACTCCAGCCTGGGCAATAAAGTGAGACCTTGTCTCAGAAATAAATAAATTAATATGCTCGAGGAAAAAAAAAATACAAATTTTAAAGCAATACATATTAGATAATTACAGTTATACTATGTTTAAAAATATGATCATGAGGCCGGGCACGGTGGCTCAAGCCTGTAATCCCAGCACTTTGGGAGGCTGAGGCAGGTGGATCACGGGGTCAAGAGATCAAGACCATCCTGGTCAACATGGTGAAGCCCAGTCTCTACTAAAAATACAAAAAATTAGCTGGGCATGGTGGCGCGTGCCTGTAATCCCAGCTACTCGGGAGACTGAGGCAGGAGAATTGCCTGAACCCAGGAGGCGGAGGTTGCGGTGAGCCGAGATGGCGCCATTGAACTCCAGCCTGGGTAACAAGAGCGAAACTCCGTCTCAAAAAAAAAAAAAAAAAAAAATATATATATATATATATATATGATCATGAATATAATGTAGTAGCATAACTGTACACTGAAAGATGTAAAGAGAAAGAGGTGCAAAGCAGACTTCAGCTGTTGGAATAGTGAATGTCTTGCTTTCTTTTGCCACACTTTGGAGATCTATCCGTATTAATATACATAGTCAAGTCAATTTGCAAGAGAGATACATGGGAATATGTTTTCTAAGTACTTGTGAATCTTTCTCGACATTCTGCTGTAAAGCCCTCTGGTAACATCTGCTGTTATAAGGGAAGGCATGCTGCTGCTTCTTGTTCTCTTGAATATAAACTTGTTTTTCCTTTCTAGAAAGTTTTCTCTTTGTCCTTCAGAATTTTTCCAAACTATATCTGGCCACAGGTCTTCTTCTTTTTTTTTTTTTTTTTAATTTTGAGACAGAGTCTTGTTCTGTCACCAGGCTGGAGTGCAGTGGCGCAATCTCGGCTCACCGCAACCTCCGCCTCCTGGGTTCAAGCAATTCTCCTGCCTCAGCCTCCCGAGTAGCTGGGACCACAGGTGCACGCCACCATGCCAGGCTAATTCTTTTGTATTTTTAGTAGAGACGGGGTTTCACCATGTTGACCAGGATGGTCTCGATCTCTTGACCTCGTGATCCGTCCACGTCGGCCTCCCGAAGTGCTGGGATTACAGGTGTGAGCCACCGCGCCCGGCGCCATGGGTCTTCTTTTGCCGAATAGTCCTAAAACACTGTGAGCAGCTATCCGGGCTGCCACAGACGTTCTCTAGTTCTGCTGTAACAGCAGCAGTGGGGCGCGGTAAGGAAAACACAAAAAGCATATTCTTCTCTTTTTCAAAAACACATTGTCTCTTTAAAAAAACATTCTTACTTGGAATGAAGCAAAGATATGTCAAAGCTTAAATTATTTTGCAGTATTTAGTTTGCAGCTTCCGGTTCTCTGAGGAATCTCCTGTCAAACTCATCTTTTTTCCCCCACTTTGCTTTTGCATACCCACTGTGCAGTCCTGTGTTCTGCTTACAAAAGAAGCCGCGGAAGTCACGCAGAGACAGTACCACCAGATGCCTCAAGTTTTTTTTCTGTTGGATTTTTTTTTTTAAAGAAGCCATTATTTACTGAAACTTGTTAGCCCTGGCATCATGAAAGAAGTCAAAAGGGTTCCTGCATTTCTAATGATTTTGTCTTTAAAGAAAAATAAACCCCCCCCATTCCCCCCACACTGAAAACTTATAAAAACAGATGTGCTGAAAACAGGCTGGAAAAGTTTTATGAAATAAAGAATGTTAAGAAAAGATATAATAAAAGGAATAGAAAATACAGCAGCAACAAGATAAAGAAAACTCAAATTGTCAGTGGTAAAAATCCATTTTTAAGTTGATGCGATGCTGAAAGCATTCCTGCTAAAATCAAGAATAAGGCAAAATGTCCACAATCTTGACTAGTATTTAACAGTATATTTTAGGTGTTAGTAAAACAAGGAAGACAACTGGAGGCCTAAGAATTGGAAATAAAGAGGTAAAATTCCTCCCTATTTGCAGATGAATCCCCAAGAGGAATCTAGCTATAACCAATACGAACACAAAAGAATTCAGAAATAAAGACACAGAATTAACATTAAAATAATAGTCTTTAGGCCTGAGATCTAAAATAAAGAGCCCCCTTCTATTTCAATAATAAAATATAAATAAATCAATTTAGAAATAGTCAAAAGATCTGAATACGCATCCTCCAAAGAAGATGTACAAATATCGAGTAAATACATGAAAGGAGTCATTACCAAAATGCGAATCAAACCCACAGTGAAACACCACTTCACACCCACTTGCAAAGCTAGAATAAAAAAGACAAGAGCAAGGACATGGAGAAATTGGATCCCTCGGATATCACCGTGTGAAATGGCGCAATTGCTTTGTAAAACAGTTTAGGAGTTCCTCAAAATGTCCAAACTCAAGTTACCATGTGACTCAGCAGTTCTACTCCGAGGTTTCTACTTAAGAGAAAAACAAAGACATAGTTGCACGTATTTGCACAGCAAAGTGCACAGCAGCATGATTCGTGCAGCCAAAATGTGGAAACAAGCCAAATGTCTATTCGCTGATGAACTTACGAAATGCGATGTGTCTATCCAAACAATAAGACATTATTCAACTGGAAAAAGAAATGAAGTACCGGTACATGCCAAGGCACGGGTTGAGTGTGAAAACATTATGCCAAGTGAAAGGACACAGCCCCTGAGGATCTCGCTCCAGAACGGGCAAATCTGTAGAGACGGGAAGCGGATTCCACCTTGCCTAGGGCTGCTGGAGTGGGGAGATGCAGGCGATAAGCAGTGACTGCTAACGGGTGGTATTTCTTTTGCGGGTGATGACGGCGTTCTGGAATTAGATGGTAGGGATGGTTGTACAACTTTGTGAGTGTACTAAAAACCACTGAATTGTACACTTTCAACAGATAAACTTTATGGCATATAAATGACAGCTCAGTAACCGATTTAAAAAGTGGCCGGGTGTTGGCCGGGCGCGGTGGCTCAAGCCTGTAATCCCAGCACTTTGGGAGGCCGAGGCGGGTGGATCACGAGGTCAAGAGATCGAGACCATCCTGGTCAACATGGTGAAACCCCGTCTCTACTAAAGATACAAAAAATTAGCTGGGCATGGTGGCGCGTGCCTGTAATCCCAGCTACTCAGGAGGCTGAGGCAGGAGAATTGCCTGAACCCAGGAGGCGGAGGTTGCAGTGAGCTGAGATTGTGCCACAGCACTGCAGCCTGGGTGATAGAGCAAGACTCCGTCTCAAAATAATAATAATAGTAATAGCATTTATATTACAAACAATAACCACTTCGAAGATGAGATATAAGTATAAATTCCATTAACAATAACAACAAAAATACTTGGAATAAGTTTACAGACAAATGTACAGAGTGTGTATAAGAAAACAAACTCTTTCGAGAAATACAATAGTAGATTGATTGTGTGCTTTCCTAGTTTTCTCTACTATTTTCGTATATGTGCCTATAAATATGAAGCCTCCATTTTGACTGGAAACAAGCCTAGAGGATGTATACTTTTTTTAAGATGCAGAAAATGAAACCCCAAAACATTTCTGACAATCTTACTTTTTCACTATTTTCATTTCTAAAATTTTGGTACTAAATAGAGATGAGGGTCTTGCTATGATGCCCAGGCTGGACTTGAATCCCTGGCCTCAAGTGATCCTCCTGCCTTGGCCTCACAAAGTGCTGGGATTACAGGCATGAGCCATCATGCCCAGCCCCTCCCCCCCCCTTTTTTTTTTTTACTATTTTCTAATGAATCTGTTTTTATGAAAAAAATTATTATTCTAAGTACAATTGAGCACAATAATCCCTAACTCTTAACTCAATAGTAGAAACCACAATGTTACTGTATTGTCATACTTTTGGTTTGCTAGGGAAAACTAACTAGGGCCATGTTTATTTTCCAAGGAGAGGAAGAAATTCTATTAATACTTGGGGATCTGAAGTTCTCTTTAAAATATTTTCTTGGCAGAGACTGAGCTGTCAACATGTAAATGTGTGTGTTTTTTGTATTTTTGTGTTTTTTTTTTTTGCAGTCTCACTGTTAGAAACCAGGAAGATCAGAGGCCCACAATAGCTTCCCACGAACTCAGAGCAGACCTTCCAACCTGGGAAGAAAGGTGAAATAGCACGTTTTTTACCTCACTAAACTAACAGAAACATCAACCTCTTTCTTTTCTTTGCCTTGTATGTGTCTATGGAACATGCACCTTCTCTAACTGCAATTTAGTGATAGCCAATCACTATGTGGCCTCACACTCCTCCCCTGCAGAATTCCATTTAATTCACTGCATGACAGGGAGAGAAATAATTTCCATTATTAGTCTAATCCCTTTGCTAATTGCAAATACAAATAAATGCTTCCTAACAAAATATATTATGTTATTTTTTAATAATGTACTTGTATAAACAAAAGACTGACTGGGCATGGTGGCTCACGACTGTAATCCCAGCACTTTGGAAGGTCGAGGTGGGTGGATCACCTGAGGTCAGGAGTTCGAGACCAGCCGGGCCAACATGGTGAAACCCCGTCTCTATTAAAATACAAAAATTAGCTGGGCATGGTGGTGCACACCTGTAATCCCAGCTGTTTGGGAGGCTGAGGCAGAGATAATTGCTTGAACGTGGAGGCAGAGTTTACAGTGAGCCAAGGTTGCACCACTGTACTCCAGCCTGGGAGACAGAGCAAGACTCTGTCTCAAAAATAATTAATTAGTCAATTTTAAAAATAAAAGGGAAAGAGAGAAAGAAAAAATTATAGATGCTTGCCAAAAACTAAATGACATATAAGTAATGAAACTAATCTAACCTCTAAGAGATTAAACACTGTTAACACATTCCTTTTTTTTGAGAATGAGTCTAGCTCTGTTGCCAAGGCTGGAGTGCAGTGATACAATCTTGGCTCATTGCAACCTCCACCTTCCAGGTTCAAGTGATTCTCCTGCCTCAGCCTCCTGAGTAGCTGGGATTACAGGCTCGCGCCATCATACCCAGCTACTTTTTGTATTTTTCAGAGATGGGGTTTCACCATGTTGAACAGGCTGACCACAGGTGATCTGCGCATGTTGGTCTCCCAAGTGCTGTAACAAAGTACCAAAATCTGGGTAGCTTAAAATGACAGAAACTTGTTCCCTCACAGTTCTTGAGGCTGGAAGTCCAGAATCAAGGTGTCAGCAGGCCATGCTTTCTCTATACTCTTACGGCCCTAGGGGAGGATCTTTCCTGGTTCTTCCAGCTTTGGGTGGTTGCCAGCAGGGCATGTCATTCCTTGGCTTATAGATACCTCACTCAAGTCACATAGCTGTCTCATCCCTGTGCTTCTCCATATCATCTTCACCCTGTGCATGTCTGTGTCTGTGTCCAGATTTCCTCTTACAGGATACCAGTCATTTAGATTAGATCTCATCCTAATGACCTCATCTAACTTCACCAAATCTGCGAAGACCTTATTTCTAAATAAGGTCATATTCTGAGGTACAGCAGGTTACAACTACAACATATCATTCTCAGGGGTACAACTTAACCAATAATACCTTTCTACAGAATAGACACTGGATCCAGATGGTTTCAGGCTAGGGCCACAAAGCATTCCGGGAATAGATCATTCCAAGATCAGGCAACTCTAGCATAACTAATGCAATATCTGAGAGGCCAGTGTGATGGTAATACTGAAACCCAATAGGATAGCTCAAGAATGGAAAGGTAGAGGTGAATCCTACTAGGGACTGGCCACACACGACAACTTGGGGAATCTTAGAAACTTAATGTTGAGTGGAAAAAGCAAGTTGCAGAAGACAACATAGAGTCAACCATTTTGATTTTTAAAAAAACTGCTGGGTACGGTGGCTCACGCCCATAATCCCAGCAGTTTGGGAGGCCAAGGCGGGCGAATCACCTGAGGTCAAGAGTTCCAGACCAGCCTGGGCAATGGTGAAATCCTGTCTCTACTAAAAATATAAAAAATTAGCCAGTGTGGTGGTGGGCATCAGTAATCCCAGGTACTTGGGAGGCTGAGGCAGAAGAATCTTTTGAACCCAGGAGGCAGAGGTTGTAGTGAGCTGAGATCGTGCCATTGCACTCAAGCCTGGGTGACAGAGAGAGACTGTCTCAAATAAATAAATAAAAATCAATCAAACCTAAAGACTATATTTTTCAGTGTTACATACATACATTTAAAACTAAGGAAATAAGAGAAAAGATTAAGGATCGTTGTTAAGCTATGTTTGCTCACCTCAAAACAATTACGACAGAAGAAAGAATTAACTCCAAGGGGTGAGCCCACAATCAAGTATAGCAGTTCGCTAGGAGACAGAGCTGGGAGAGAGCAGCAAGCAGAAGTAGCACCGAAATCAATGCAGCATTGTCAGTGCTGCTCTGGTTCGTGCGGAAAATGGCACATTCACTAGTGTTCATTTACACTGGAGACTCGGAGAGGTGGATGGGAGGGCGGGAGGCAGGTAAGGGATGAGAAATGACCTAGTGAGTACAGTGTGATGACCGCACTAAAAGCCCAGGCTTCACCATTGTGCAATAGACCCATGTTACAAAAGTGCACTTGGAGCCCCTAAATATATTTTTTAAACGTCTGTAATTTCAAAAAAAAAAAAAAGGGAGCTGGGCACAGTGGCTCACACCTGTAATCCCAGCAATCTGGGAGGCCAAGGTGAGTAGACTGCTTAAACCCAAGAGTTCGAGACCAGCCTGGGCAACATAGTGAGACCTGACTGTACCGAGAACAGGAAAAGTTAGCTGGGTGTGGTGGCACGCGCCTGTAGCCCTAGCTACTTGGGAGGCTAAGGCAAGAGAATCACATGAGCCTGGGAAGTCGAGGCTGCAGTGAGCGGTGATCACACCTCTGCCCTCCAGCCTTGGCAGCACAGTGAGACTCTGTCTCAGAAACAAAGTGTTTTGTTGTCACCTTTCATAACTTGCATTGATACTACATATATTCTTTCTCAAATATTACATCATTTTACAAAGTACTAAACAGATACTTGCCCTGTTGTTCCAGGGGTTTCATGTTGTCAAGTCTGACTTAGCTCTGTTGGAGGACAGAACTCATCGTAGGTGATTAGGAAGTTCGGGGTCATATGGTTGCAGGATTTTCCTTTACATTTACAGTTTTTAAAATATTGCAAGGCGTGCCCAGTTGTAAACAAGCATGTTCTCAGCCATTATTCTAGCAACTTGGCTTGCAAGCCTTTCAGTATGCAATGCAGCAAACAATTTGAAAGTATCATATTCATGCGTTTTTCTCAAAGGCTTAAGGAAATGAGAACAGCTCTTTCCCTTCCTAAAAGGGCCTAAACACATCTACTTTTCATTCTTGGAGGATGAAAAGATACATTTCTAATGATGAAATTCCAAGTAACTACCAATAACAGTTCCCTTTTACCCGCTCTGTTTCGGTCTCCACGAAGCCCTGCTCCTACTCTGGAAGAAGTCAACGCCTGGGCTCAGTCATTTGACAAATTAATGGTCACTCCAGCAGGAAGGAATGCATTCCGTGAGTTCCTGCGAACAGAATTCAGTGAGGAAAACATGCTCTTCTGGATGGCCTGTGAGGAACTGAAGAAGGAAGCTAATAAAAACATTATTGAGGAGAAAGCAAGGATAATCTATGAAGACTACATTTCTATACTTTCCCCTAAGGAGGTATGTGACTACAGAATGCCTTCTCCCAGGGCTGCTGGTAAAATATTCAGTTGGTGCAAAAGTAACTGCCATAGGCAGGGCGCGGTGGCTCAGGTCTGTAATCCCAGCACTTTGGGAGGCCGAGGCGGGTGGATCACCTGAGGTCAGGAGTTTGAGACCAGCCTGATGTACATGATGAAATCCCATCTCTACTAAAGATACAAAAATTGGCCAGGCATGGTGGTGGGTGCCTGTAACCCAGCTACTGGGGAGGCTGAGGCAGGAGAATCACTTGAACCCGGGAGGCAGAGGTTGCAGTGGGCTGAGACCAGAAAGCCCTACTGCACTCCAGCCTGGGAGACAAGAGCGAAACTCCGTCTCAAAAAACAAAAGTAATCACGGTTACTTTTAATGGTAAAAACTGATTACTTTTGCACCAACCCAATCACTCCTTCCCGGTTTGGTCACGTTTAGCTTGACCCAGAACAGCAACTGCAAAACGTAGAAAACAGCTGCACCTGCAGTCAGGGTATACAGATCCCTTTGACTGTGGACCTGCAGAGGGGTACCAAGTGTCCTCTGAAATCTGTGAAAATTTTTGTGCATTTTTATGGGAAAAGTATCCCCTGGAGTCTGCATTTTACTGTGAACACTACAAATATTATACCCTAAGACATTCCTTTAAATAAAATTATCCTGTTATTCTGAGAAAAAAATCTTATGTTTAGGTATCTTGATGTTACAAAGCACAGCGTCACAGATGAGATACTGACATTGCCAAGGTTTTCCCCAGGCTGGCCTTTTCACATTCAAGAAATTATCAAATGAATGAGACTGGGCAAGTTTCCACCTGTCAGAGTTTCAGTTTCTTCAAATCTAAAATTTAGGAGTCAGCTCTGGGTGCAGTGGCTCACTTTTGTAATCCCAGCACTTTGGGAGGCCAAGGCAGGTGGATCAGCTGAGGTCAGGAGTTCAGTACCAGCCTGGCCAACATGGTGAAAACCCATGTCTACCAAAAATACAAAAAATTAGCCGGGTGTGATGGCACATGCCTGTAATCCCAGCTACTTGGGAGACTGAGGCACCTGGGAGGCGGAGGTTGCAGTGAGCAGAGATCGCATCATTGCACTCCAGCCTGGGCAATGAGAGTGAAGATCCATCTCAAAAAAAAAAACAACATAATAAAATAAAATTAAGAAGGTCAGATTGTTCTCACAATTTTGTGCCTTGTAGCTCTAATTATAAGTCTGTAGGTTCTTTCCCACTATGTGCCAACAGGAAGGCCAGGGTAAAGAAGCAGGGCCTCTCCTGCCATGGAGCTTCCAGAGATGGGGGTGGGCAGACCAGGACCCCTGGCCACATGCTCAGCACTTACCGGGACTTAGGGGTGAGCCGTCCACAAAGGGGTGGGCGAGAATGAGAAGGGTACTCGGGAAGGCTACAGATAGACCAAGGATGGTGAAAAGGGGATTTCCAGAAACACAGCAGGATGGGGACATCCCAGGAGACAGGACCAGGCAAGCCCAGGGGACAAGCGTGAAGTTGTGTGATCACTGCAAATATACACAGATTGTTGTGGCGGACGGGGACGGGGAGGTGCTTACCAAACTGTCAGGGCTGGTGTAGGCAGCAGGGGGAGACTTAGAAAAGGGACAGTCGGAGAACATGGAGAGATTTGGGCATCATGCCGAAGTGTTTGGATTTTTAGCTTTGGAAGCCCTTGGATTTTAGCCTGTTGATATCACCAAATTTGGATGTGATATCAACACCAAACTAGCTAGGCCAGCGGAAGACACTGGAGGGGAAGGGTTGACGAGGCAAACGGCATCTCAAAATGACTCCCATGTCCCTGGCTTAGGCAGACAAGGTGGTGGGGTTGGTGGCTCACTCAATTCTGCTTTGTTACATTTTGCTTTCTTAAGTTCATGTTGTTAAATTAGTGATATGCAGTTGACATGTTTGAATACTGAATCCAGAGAGTTATTTTTATTTTGGTTTGGTAAGAGCAAGATAATTTTTGTCCTTTAATTTGTAGCTTCTACATATTTCTATTTTGTCATGATTTCTTTTTCAAGGCAAGGTTTTTCCTCAGTCTTTTAAAGCATTATACAACCAAAAAATTATAATTCCAGCCTATAATCCCAGCACTTAGGGAGGCCAAGGCAGGCGAATCATGAGGTCAGGAGTTCGAGACCAGTCTGGCCAACATGGTGAAATCCTGTCTCTACTAAAAATACAAAAAATTAGCCAGGCGTGTTGGTGGGCGCCTGTAGTCTCAGCTACTCAGGAGGCTGAGCCAGGAGAATTGCTTGAATCCAGGAGGTGGAGGTTGCAGTGAGCCAAGATCATGCCACTGCACTCCAGCCTGGGTAACAGAGCAAGACAACATCTAGAAAAAAAAAAAAATCTAGGAAATTTATGAAGCAAAAACAATATAAAAAGATGACCCTTTCTCCCCAAATATAAGCATTTATTGTTTGAAATGCAAAGCTTGAAAAAGCTTAAGAGCATAGATTTAGCCATATGCACAGGCCATAGTGTAGGTTGGATGAGCTTGCGTTTAAACCCCAGTTCTCATTTTTTAGCTGCCTAACTGCAGGTGTCTTTTTTAACCCCTCTGCAGCTTTTTCCTCCTGTGTATGAAGGGAACATCATCACACCTGTAGATTTGGGCAGGGTAGAGGGAAAGTTATTTTAGACAGAGGGAACAAGGACAAGGTATTTCTAGCTCCTTCCTTCTTTAAATCGCAAGTGGTTCAGAACAGCTCTTGGGAAGAATGAGGCAGAACAGATTGTGAAAGGCCTCAGAAGCTTAGACTTAGATCTGATCGGCTTTGGACTTGATCCTGAGAGCACTAGCAAGCCAGAGCAGAGTATGAAGCTGGCGTGTCAGGACAGGGTTTGCATTTTAGAAAGAGGCTCCTGGACTGAGCCCAGGAATGGAATGTGGCAAAGCACTAGACCAGCGCCAGGAGAACGCTTAATAGGCTGCTGCACAAATCCGGCGGGAAATGGCCAGAGACCTCTTCAAGGCTCGTGGCAGACAGAAGGGGAAGGTGGATCGATTCAGGGGTTAGAGAGGTAGGGAGGGCTGGGCCGGGTGGCCCATGCCTGTAATCCTGGCACTTTGGGAGAGGCCAAGATGGGAGGATGGCTTAAGCTCAGGAGTTCAAAAGCAGCCTGGGCAACATAGTGAGACCCCATCTCTAAAAAAAAAAAAAAAAAAAATTAGCTGGGTGTGGTGACACACACTTGTAGCCCCAGCTGCTCAGGAGGCTGAGGCAGGAAGATCACTTGAGCCCATCAATTTGAGGCTGCAGTGAGCTATAATGGGACCACTGCACTTCAGCCTGGGCAACAGAGCAAGATCCCCTCAAAATAAATATAAAAAAGTAGAATCAGTAGGACTGTGTGACTGAACATAGAACCAGGCAGAAGATGAAGGATAAGCAGGGCTGTGAACTGAGTGGGGATAGCTAGCTCCATTTCTTCATGAGCTCACTAGATCGGGAGATAATGGGAGTCCATTTTGACAGTATTGGGTTTGAGGTGCCACCTATGGGTAAGAAAGAGGCTTTCCAGGAGGAAGGTGGATATATGCACCTGGAAAGATAGATCACATAAGCCAGTATTTAATGATTTAAGTAATTACATTTTCAGTCTTTGTTTTTTTTGGGTTTTTTTTTTTTTGAGACAGAGTATCACTCTGTCACTAGGCTGGAGTGCCGTGGCACGATCTCGGCTCACTGCAACCTCTGCCTTTTTGGGTCCAAATGATTCTCCTGTCTCAGCCTCCCGCATAGCTGGGATTACAGGCACGCACCACTGTGCCCAGCTAATTTTTGTATTTTTAGTAGAGACGGGGTTTCATCATATTGGCCAGGATGGTCTCAATCTCTTGACCTCGTGATCTGCCTGCCTTGGCCTCCCAAAGTGCTGGGATTACAGGTGTAAGCCACCTGTATATAAGCTGAAAAAGCTCGGCCTATTTTCAGTTTTTTTATGAAAGCACTGCGTGGCATTGGAACTATCATGGCCAGCCTGTGCAGGGATGGCCCAGCTGAGGTTCTTTCCGCAGAAGAGACCTGTGAGTTCATGTTTGCACCTTTGGCCTAGACTCATTTGTCTAGTGTCCTACAGGAACAGTTTGAGCCCAGTCGTTTGCTCTGGTTTATGGGACAGTCTTGTCTAGGAAGAGCCAAACATCAGAGCGATAATAGGCGACATCTCCTATGGGGTTAGTGAAATCCAAGCACTTTGTCATTAGATCACCAAAAACATTGACACTATCATCATCATCTTCATCATCATCCCCACCTCAGGGGAGGAGTTCACTAGGACACAGAGTTTACCTTGCCCAAGGCCCTATAACTATGCAGTCACAGGGCTGGAATTTAAACTCTGGGATCATCTGCCCTCAGGCCCTGTGACTGGAACCTCCCAGGATTTTGAGTCAGTGTCCACTTCACGTGCCCAACCCTCCGGGCAGGCCAGCACTCATCCTGAGACCTGCCACTGTGGACCAGCAGGGGAAGTCTGGGCCTTCAGGCGTCAGCCCCCATGTTACAAGGAAATGAGCAAGGGGCAGTCTGTGCTGCCTGTTTTCTACAAAGCAGCAGTGTGAGCCCCACCAGCATCAGTGAGAACTTGTGGGAAATAAGCAATCAGGGAGACCTCTATACCGCCTAAATCTGGGGTGGGACCCAGCTACTATCTCACAAGCCCTCGAACCTACTGATGCCACTGGCCTTTGAGAACCACGTTGATGATGCTTTTGGTTTCTCTTTCGGGGGTTTGGATTTTTGGGACGATCTCCTTTGGTTTGGGATATTTAAAAAACAACAAGGCCGGGTGCAGCAGCTCACGCCTGTAATCCTAGCACTTAGGGAGGCCGAGGTGGGCAGATCACCTGAGGTCAGGAGTTCAAGACAAGCCTAGCCAACATGGCGAAACCCTGTCTCTACTAAAAATACAAAAACTAGCCAAGCATGGTGGCGGTCCCTGTAATCCCAGCTACTCAGGAGGCTGAGGTAGGAGAATTCCTTGAACCCAGAAGGTGGAGGTTGCAGTGAGCCAAGATAGCACCACTGTACTCCAGCCTGGGCGAGGGTGAGGCTGTCTCAAGAAAACAAGAACACAAGCTCTGGGAGTTTGGGATGGAGCTACAACCGAAGTCTCTAATACACCTCCTACTCCTTTCTGTCGGCAGGTGAGCTTAGACTCCCGGGTGAGAGAAGTCATCAACAGAAACATGGTGGAGCCGTCCCAACACATATTCGACGATGCTCAACTTCAGATTTACACCCTGATGCACAGAGACTCGTATCCTCGATTCATGAACTCTACCGTCTATAAGGACTTGCTTCAGTCCTTATCGGAGAAATCCATTGAAGCATAGGATTTTTCAAATATATTTATTATTAATAAAATAATAAAAAGAACTCATGGGCTACATCTAGCACAGTGAATTTAGAGGCTGTAGCATCTTCTGCTGGAGTAATACTCAGGCTATTTTAATAACAGATGATTCCCTCAACAGACTGCTATATATTCACAATGTAAATTGCAGCCACCTTCACTGATACTTTTGGGAAAAGAGAAAGGGACAGGGCTGTTGTAGAAAGCGTATTTGCATTTGCAGTAACTCTAGCATGTGGTCAGTGGTGAAGGCTACACAGAAGGCTCCCTGCTGCCCAGGGCAGGTGCATCCACCAGAGCAAAGGGAGCCACTTCTGTTTTGCATGACTTTGGTAACTGGTTACTGTTCCCCCAAGAGAAGACATTCAGGTGTTTCTCAATCACCTCTTCCGTCCATTAAGCTTGGTTTGAACACTTCACTTATCAGTGCCATTACAGGGCCCAAATTCACAGTTCATAAAGATGTGACCACTACATGTAAAAATGGCATTCCGCGTGATCTTAGAGTATGTCTGTATGGAGATACATATGTGTGCGTGTGTGGGTCTCTGTGGTTAATGTAGAGCACTGATCTGAGGTGGGTCAGTCTCAAGTGTCTGGTAACAGAAGCAGTGCTTAGAAAATTCTTTTGTAGAAAAGAATTACTATTATTTTATTATCAGAATTTGCCAACCTAAAGAATGAATTTTTAAAATCACAATTTGGTCATCTTCACAAAACTGTCAAATAAGCATATTTCCATTTTTATTGAAAGAAATATGGGCATTTTCATTCTTTAAAGAAATAAAGCACAATAATTTTATCTCAATCTTTATTTTTCCATATGTACTATTTGGGAAACATAAGATTAAGAAAGTAGGGATACGTGCAGCATATCTTTTAGCTCCCAGACTAGGATTCTGTGCTTAGATCCCACTATTTTTATCAGAGGCAAAAAGAACTTCATAGCTTACAGGTAAAAATACTGGTTGGTAGACCTAGCCCATCCTGAAGAAACCCATCTCTACAATGAATGGGAAACATTCAAAATCTGGGACACTCTGACTAGTGGGAGAGATGCTATGTTGCAGGAGGTGGTGCTGCACTCCCGCCCTCACAGGGGATGGCTCTCCTCTGGGTCCAACCCTGCCTGGCCCCTCTATAGCCTGCCTGTATCTTCATGACTCAATTCAAGCCCCAAAGCCAAGCCCCTCTCCTTCATTCTCATAAAACCATTTTACCTCCTACTCTACTATGCAAATTGTGTCCCTAAGCCTCCTCAACTTCCCATACAACCTATAAACATGTATAGATCAGTGTCTCTTCTCATCTCCCTCAGTCCAGTCCCAGAGAACAATGTGTTTTTTCCACGTTTTTGAGGTGTCAATCCCTTACCTGTGCTTCAATTCCAAGTCTTCCAATCTCATTTCTTACTAAAGAAAACAGATATAATTGTGAATGAGACATAAGCCCTGCCCTCTAGTAGTTTACATTCAGTAAAAGCCGACTGATATGTTTGTGGGAACTCTGAGACAGTAAGAAATACAGCAGGGGGAGAACAGCGCTGCGGGAGTCTTGAAGGGTTATGGAAAGATTCTGGTGGAGATGGCACCAAAGTCAAAATCTAGAGAACGAGAAGAAAGTATATGTGTTGGGGCAGGGAGGGCATCGGACTAGATGGTATTCATAACTGAGCGGCCCCAAAGGAGTCCAGTTGTGGACATGCTGAGAACAAGGGAAGGCACACCGACGTCATCGTCAGTTGAATGGAGGGACCTGGGTGGTTGAGTCTAGGCTGGCATACTGAGTTTGGGGTTTTTCAGCACATAGGCAAATAAGACTGCCTGGAGAATTATGCGTGAAAAGATAGCCGAGGGTAACTCACTGCAAGGATAGACAGAACTGAGACCAAAGGAGGTTTAGGATTCACCTTGTCAATAAAGGTAAGAAGACTTAGAGTCGGGAATGTGGAAACACAGCAGCAGATGCATGGGAGTGTCTCCAGGAGTGGCGGTGAACAGTGGTAAATCAAAGACTTACTTAGAGCTTTGTTCCAGCACTTTCTTCCCACCCTCCTGTATTACTGAGTTCACCTTGACTTCTCCCCACCCTGTGAGCATGGTCGATTTCCCAGTTAAAAACAAAACCTGCATTCCACTGTAACTCATCAGACGTTTCACAACAGCCCACACTTGCTGTCTCCATTTCATCTCCCCATCTCCCCATTCTCACCTCGAGCTGCTCCAGCGCCGCCAACTGCTCCAAGGAGGTCTCTCTCCACCAAGTCTACAGCACAGTTTTCCCAGCCTTCTCAGTGGGCTGCTCAGCTCCTGATACCATGGGTGACTCCTTCCTTGAAATAGCACTTCCTCCCGCTTCTGAGGTGCTCTCCTGTTTCTCCATATTCTCTCTCTTCTTCGTTTCCTTCTCAGGCAGAACAGCACAGCAGCTAAGGGCTTCGGTTCTGGAGCCAGACTCTCCGACTCCTCTGCTGACCACGTGGCAGCAGGAACTCAGCCTTTCTGGGCCTGCTTCCTCAATGAAATTGAGGATAGTAATAGTGCTCATCCCTGGTGTGGCTGAGGATTAAAGGGAGTCCATATACCGTGCAGCAAGCACTTATTACACGTGAGTCACTGCTGTTATTACCTGCCCATTGAATATGGTGGCCCCTACAGCGTGGATTGGGTTTCCTTTTCTTGCCAATCTGTATGTTCTCCCTTGGCTCTCATATTCCCTTGTTTAAAATGCCTACCAATATACTGATGGCTACCAAATTGGGATCCAGTCGAGACTTTCTCCTGAACTTGAGAATCAGCTCCCAGCTGGCCATCTCCACTGGTGTAGCCCACCAGGGCAGAACACACCAGGGCTTGGCTGTGACTCCTGACCCCACTGCCTCCCCACCCCAAGCCTGGCCAACTGCAGCCCAGTGACCCAGCCAGTCACCTAAGCTCTTACCAGTGCTAGTTGTGACTCTTCCCTCTCTATCTCCTCCCACACATAAGCACCCAGCCTTGCCAATTTTACCTCCTATTTCTCGTGTCTCTTTCTTCTGATCCCCATCATCTCTTATCGGCATCATTGCCAAGAGCTTCACACCTGGTCTCTGCACCCAGTCTCAGCCCATTCAAATCCATCTTTCAAATGCCTTCAGGCGGTCATTCTCACATAAATTTCTTCTTGTCACCCACCATCCCTCCACTCCTTAGTATCTTTTAGTAGTTCCTGGTTGCTTAGAGTCAAAACCCAGTTCTTGGCCCAGCATACAAGCAAGGCCCTCTGGAGTCAGTCTACTGGCTCCCTAGCCAGCCCCGTTTCTGTTTAGACTCTAGAACACAGATGTGTAGAAAAGGAGCATATGTCACTCAGACCTTTAGATCTGTTCCTGAAAACTTGGTTTCTGCTGTCCCTTACCTGATCTAACTCTCTAAAATTCCACTTTTTTTTTTTTTTTGAAACGGAGTTTCACTCTTGTTGCCCAGGCTAGAGGCAGTGGCGTGATCTCGGTTCACCGCAATCTCCACATCCTGGATTCAAGGGATTCTCCTGCCTCAGCCTCCCAAGTTGATTACAGGCATGTGCTACCATGCCTGGCTAATTTTGTATTTTTCATAGAGACATGGTTTCTCCATGTTGGTCAGGCTGGTCTCGAACTCCCGACCTCAGGTGATTTGCCCACCTCAGTGTCCCAAAGTGCTGGGATTACGGGTGTGAGCCACTACACCCGGCCTCTAAAATTCCACTCTTTACCCAGCAAACGCCTATCATTTCTTTAAGATTCACCTCCTTCAAAGAAACCTGACCTCCTGTCACAGCTACTGTGTTGGGGGCCATTTTTTAACGTTGCAGGAGCATTCCGCACAAATAGTTATCATCTGAGTCATTACAAGTTGGGGCTTCATCTCAAAAAAAAGGAAAATGTAGGCCAGGTGCGGTCGCTCACGTCTGTAATCCCAGCACTTTGGAAGGCCGAGATGGGCAGATCACCTGAGGTTGGGAGTTCGAGACAAGCCTGACCAACATGAAGAAACCCTGTCTCTACTAAAAATATAAAATTAGTCGGGCATGGTGGCGGGCGCCTGTAATCCCAACTACTCAGGAAGCTGAGGTAGAAGAATTGCTTGAACCCAGGAGGCAGAGGTTGTGGTGAGCAAGACTGTGCCCTTGCACTCCAGCCTAAGCAGCAAAAGTGAAACTCCATCTCAAAAAAAAAGAAGAAAATGAAGTATTAACCGAAACCTTATACCCATAGAACAGCAGCTCCATACTTCCCCTCTCCCCAGCCCCTGGCCACCAGCATTCTACTCTCTGCTTCTGTGGGTTTAACTATTCTATGCAGTATTTGTCTTTCTTTCACTTAGCACAATGTCTTCAAGGTTCATCCATTATCCTGATTCATCAATTCTGTCACGTACAGCAGGATTTTCTTATTTTTATGGCTAATATTTCATTGTACACACACACACACGGCAGGATTTCCTTATTTTTACTGGTAATATTTCATTGTATACACACACACACATATACATACCACATTTTCCTTTTTTTTTGAGCCACCACATGGCTAGATCCAGACGTCCGATATTATCAGGGCTCTCTCTCCATCTCAACGCCCCTCAGCTTCATTGTACACAAAGGATCTCTGCATGTAGTAGGCAAAAAGCTGCAGGGAGCCCCAAACGCAGCTGTGCTGGCTTAGCTGTACCTGTTCATATGGGAATCTCAAGGATGCACACGGGGTACAGGGACACTGTGAATGAGACCCGCCCGGAGTAATGTACAGGGGAGAAGGGGTGAAGGTGCCCATATTATTTGGGAGCCAATGCTCGGTAGACAGAAGCTATAGCTGTCACAGTCCACCGCCAGTGCTCTCAGTTTTTGCTTTTTAAATACCTGCTGTACTTTCACGTTGGCATTATAAGTAATGTCTATTTCACAGCAGTTCAATCATCCAATTATAAAAACACTTGGACTAATTTAACCAGACTGTATGGGATATCACATATGAAATGTCTTTTTGAAGTCACGGCCATTAAGGGGAAAATAATTAGCTATCTTTATATAGCATCCAGGGAGAGGAATCAGAACAAGGTAAGTCACCTGAGATAGCTCGCTGTGCTTTCATTTTCCATCCCCCAGCTGGACAAACAAGTACAAGAGTACATTGAAACTGTTGCATCACTTTGCAGAAATAAAGCACCAAAAGGGATCTCCCAAGACTCTAACTCCTTCCAGTCCTTATTTTAAAGTTGGAGTCTAAAACATGACCAACCAGTAACTATCCATTCTTCCACTGCTGGTCCTCAACCCATGGAATATTTTTTCTTTATATCTTAGCTCCTGAAGAGCCAAGGACGACATGTAACACACTGACAAAGACATATCCAAGAAAAACTATGTCATGAGTGCCTACTAGGTGACAGGCATTCTTCTGGATGCTAAAGATACAGCAGTGAACACATTTCCCACAAGAACTTACCAACTCCACCTCTACTAAGTTACAGCTGTTGGTTATCGAATATAGCCATGATTATGAGTTGTTTTTTCCACTCTACTTCACTATTACTTTTTACTGACTTCAATGTACTTAAACATTGTTCAACATAATGTTTCCATTACTTCCTAGGAATCTGTCAGTAACTCTGTCCTATTTCCCATGAGGTCCCATTCTTAAGGATGGTCCTTTTTCATATGTGGCTTTTTTTTTTTTTTTTTTTTTTTAAAAGATAGAGTTTTCCTCTTGTTGCCCAGGCTGGAGTGCAGTGGCACAATTGGGCTCACCTCAACTTCCGCCTCCTAGGTTCAAGCCATTCTCCTCCCTCAGCCTCCCATGTAGCTGGAATTACAGGCATGTGCCAGAATGCCCAGTTAATTTTGTATTTTTAGTAGAGTCGAGGTTTCACTACATTGGTCAGGCTGGTCTCAAAGTCCTGACCTCAGGTGATCCACCCACCTCAGCTTCCCAAAGTGTTAGGATTACAGGCATGAGCCAAGACACCTGGCCTCATATGTGGCTTTCACTAGTAATTCAGTGATTATCCCCATCGTGTTTCCCAGTGGGATATACAATTCATCATGAATGGCTAATTTTCTACAAGTAAATAAAGTGGAGATAGAAAACAATTATTTGTTTTTTTAAAATTTTATATAGAGACAAGGTCTAGCTATGTTGCCCAGGCTGGCTTCAAACTCCTGAGCTCAAGCAAGCCTCTTGCATTGGCCTCCCAAAGTGCTGGAATTACAGGCATGAGTCACCTCACTGGTCTGGCTTTTTTCCTTGAGATAGGGTCTCATTCTCTTCCCCAGGGTGTTGTACGGTGGTGTAAACGTAGCTCACTGTAGCCTCAATCTTCTGAGCTCAAAGGATTCTCCTGCCTCAGCCTCCTGAATAGCTGAGACCACGGGTATGCACCACCATGCCCAGCCAGTTATTTTTATTTTTTACAGAAACAGTGTCTTACTTTGTTGCGCAGACTGACCTTGAACTCCTGGGCTGAAGCAATCCTCCTGCCTCAGCCTCCCAAAGTGCTGGGATTACAGGTGCGAGCCACCAAGCCCAGCCTGGGAAGAACTACTGATTAAAACTCTTTAAATCACAACTCTAACTGTAGTTTTTATTTTGAGAAATATGGTTGAGCATCGAGCTCAAGTCTGTAATCCCAGCACTTTGGGAGGCTGAGGCAGGTGAACTGCATGAGTCCAGGAGTTTGAGACCAACCTGGGCAACATGGCCCATCTCTACTAAAAATACCAAAATGCTGGGTGTGTTGGCGTGCACCTATAATCCAGCTATGTGGGAAGCTGAGGTGGGAGATCACTTGAGCACAGAAGGCGGAGGTTGCAGTGAGCAGAGATTGTGTCACTGCACTCCAGTGAGGGCAAATGAGTAAGACTTTGTCTCCAAAAAAAAAAAAGAGAGAGAGAGAAAAATAAAGTCCATTCAGATTCCCAAATTACAATTTGACCCATAAGGACAACCACTATGTAGCTATGAAAATTCAAAGCATAGCCTGTTATTTCTTTTGCTATCTTGTTAATACTCAAAATAGCTGCCATTTGTAAGATGTATATATAGGTTTAGATGTCTGGGGGAATATAAATATTTCCGAATTTTTGCCACGGCTTAGCAAAATTTATAAACCAATGCTCATCGTCACTCAGGTAAGTTAGAAAACCAAGATTGTTACTTGCTGCTTTCACAGGATGGTTCTTCATTATCTGTATTTGTCTAATTCCTTTGTTCATTTAACACAGTTACTTTGCCCTGAAAGTAAATGTCATAAAATATTACCCTTAATATTTACTTCCAGTTACTTTATAAATGTCTAGTACTGGGCCGGGCGTGGTGGCTCACCTGAGGTCAGGAGTTGGAGACCAGCCTGATCAACATGGTGAAACTCTGTCTCTACTAAAAAATACAAAAATTAGCAGGGCGCGGTGGCAGGCGCCTATAATCCCAGCTACCTGGGAGGCTGAGACAGGAGAATTGCTTGAACCTGTGAGGCAGAGGTTACTGTGAGCTGAGATTGTGCCATTGCACTCTAGTCTGGGAGACAGAGCAAGACACTGTCTCAAAAAAAAAAAAAAAAAAGGCTAGTATTTTCCAGTAGCAAGACTTACAGTTTGGTCTCACGTTAAATTAAGTTTACACATGGGATGCGCTCACATATTTACTCAGAACCTGCCACTGCATCCATTACCAGAGGACCAGGAAAAGACAAGTCTGTGGAACTGCTGACTACTAGTTTTTACTGAAGACCAGGCTTCACTTAAAACTGTAATTTAGAAATACCTCAGCAGCTGAGGGGAGAGGGGATGTGTAGTTAAACAAAAGATAAAGCAAGCTTCAATGTCTAAATAAAATGACACAATGTGATATATGTTTAACAACAAAAAAAAACTTTATTGAATTACAAATTTTAAAATAGATTACTTAATTTAAAAGTGAGATTATTTTATTCTGAAACTCATTCTTTCAAAAATGTACTTTAGTTTTGAAATGATAAAACAAAATCTTCAACTATGAACTGACAACATAGAGGTGGGTTGGTACCGGTGGCCCAATCCTTAACATGGACATTTTAAAATGCTGCTTTCTGTATTACAACAAAATAAGAGACTGGAAAAAGGGAGCAAAGGAGAGTGCAAAGCATGTACGGAGGTCTTTCTACGGTTGCCTGGCAGAATGAATCAGCATAAAATGCAGACTTTGCAACAGTGGCCTTTAAACAGTGCTAGAGCAAGTGTACCCTAAGGAACCTACGTAAAAACTGTTTGTCTTACTCCAAACAGAAAAAAATGGTACACACTTTAACAAGAAGAAGAACTTAATTGTAACATCTGTACTGTAAAGCTCCTTGCAATAGCCCATATGTTCAGTTTGTTCAATAATCTCACTCATTGACAGAAAAAGTCAGCAAATAAGACTTAAGACAAAAATATTTTCTATCAATCTCCACATGAAAAGACCACAGAATTAATGATTTACACAATCCTTAAGATTAATCCTTGGTCAGTATAGATTTCTGAATCAAAATCGAATCATGAACTGTTTACAACAGCTACACCATACTAAGATGCTAAACATTTTCTTTCCAGTATGTCTTCCTACGGGGGAAAAAAATAGTGGGAAATTTTCATCTTCACCTGTGAGGGGATTTATGAAAAGCCTTCTAAACTACAACAGTATTCTTCTGCAAAACTAAAACACATTATAAAGTCAAACAGGTAAATTAACTGCAAAACCAAACTGATCTCAACAAAGTCTTGTTCCCAAAAGTAAAATCTATTAAGAACAAGTAATATAACGTGTACAAGAAATGATAAGGGTTACAGATGAAAAATAATATCTAATATTCGAAGCTTGCAAACATAATTAAAATCAAACTCATAAGCTAGCTCAAATATTATGTACACTTTAGATAAGCTGGTCAAGTATTATTTGAATACACACCATATTTGGTAAACCTAAAATTATATTAACTTTTCTCCTCTTTTAATATTTGTAGTTACAAGCCAATACGGAAGAAAATGTATTTTCATTCATGTATTAATAACAGAATTTCTACTGTGTATGTTTCACACTGTAAAAAAAAGAAATGTTAAGGTATATTTTGCTTTAAGAAAGAAAAAACATTGGCTGGGTGGGGTGGCTCATGCCTATAATCCCAATACTTTGGGAGGCCGAGGCAGGTGGATCACCTGAGGTCAAGAGTTCGAGACCAGCCTGACCAACATGGTGAAACCCATTTCTACTAAAAATACAAAAATCAGCTGGGCATGGTGGTGCAGGCCTGTAATCCCAGCTACTCAGGAGGCTGAGGCAGGAGAATCGCTTGAACCCAGGAGGCAGAGGTTGCAGTGAGCCAATATCGTGCCATTGCACTGCAGCCTGAGCAACAAGAGCAAAACTTTGTCTTAAAAAAAAAAAAAGAAAAGAAAAGAAAAAGAAAAAATATTGCCAGAAGTTTAATTGATAAAAGTTTAATATCAAGTTACTTATAAACATGGAAAAATATGTTTTAAAACAGATACCATACAATTATTATATAGTCTCCTTATAGATCTGAAACTGAGAAGGCATTTAAGGAAGACGTGTTAGGTCAAAACCAAATCTAACCCAAGGGATGTATGTTGCTTTAAAAATCTGATTTGCAGGAAAACTAGTTGCTTGGCCTAGTTTAAAGCTAATTACAAAATCTGTTTTCTTAATGGTCCAGATATTTTGCCAATTCTTCCAACTCAACAGAACTGTCAAAAAAGAAAAAACATTTTGTGAGACCTTTAAATACCAATAAGGTACATTCTGCATTTGATACAGCACTCACCTGATACTGCTTTGAAAATAGATGCATTTTTAAAAAACATGCTGTGTTTTTTCACACATGAAAACCACCTATCTTAAGTGTCTAACTTTTCCAACTTAGAACTGCTAGGAACATGTCACTAACGAACTTGTATAAAACAATTTTAGCATGTTTATTAAATACCTCCTTATAATGTTTCAAAGGTAAAAAAGTTAACCATTCCAAATTTGAACTGCTAAAATATGCCACACCCTAGGCATCAGCTTTCTATCCTAAATTGAACTTCCTTAAATTCAATTAAGTATTATGTCAAAACTTGTGTCACAAACCGAATGTATTCAAAACAAACTGCACTGCACATCTCGTCACCATAATAAAAATGATCCATCATGCAAAACAAATCCAAGAGAATAGGCCAAATTTGCTCAACAGGATTGAAAAAGAAGGTGAATGTCCCTCTCCTAGACCAAGGACAGCTTCTGCAACCTCAGAAGGGGAGGAAATACTGTTTCAAGCCATGAAGACACTTTCAATAGCAGTAAATCTTTCCAGCTCAGAACTAATTCTTTGTATGTAATAAAATGGGTACTGGGCCAGGCACAGTGGCTCAAGCCTGTAATCCTAGCACTTTGGGAGGCCGAGGTAGGCAGATCACCTGAGGTCAGGAGATTGAGACCATCCTGGCCAACATGGCGAAACGCTGTTTCTATTAAAAATACAAAAATTAGCTGGGTGTGGTGGCATGTGCCTGTAATCCAGCCACCTGGGAGGCTGAGGAAGAACTGCTAGAACCTGGGAGGCAAAGGCAGCAGTGAGCGGAGACAGTGCCACTGTACTCCAGCCTGGGCAACAGAGTGAGACTCTAATAAAAAAAAAAGAAGAAAAAAAAAAAAGAATAAATAAAATAGGTACTGGCCCCAATCCTTTAAAGTGGAGTTGTTGAAGAAGCCAAATATATATCCTCAATATGGTTTGGGACTCTGGCCCAAATGGCTTCTAGTTCACTTCATGGTTTCTAGTTAACTTCTGATTTTCAGAAAATGCTTTAAGCTAAGTGAATACTTCAAAAAGCATTAAACTGAAAAGTCTATGTAAGTATAAATGAAAAACAAAAGAATTTTGTACAAACTTCAGAAAAACTAATAAAAATAGCCAGCATTTTTAGAACAGCAACAATTATCAGGCACACTAAATATATTATCTCTACTCTTCACGACTGGAAATGAAAGGTACTATTCACATTTAATATGTAAGAACAATTAAGCGCAGTAATGGGAAGTGGCAAGAGAGTTCAAAATCAGTCTGTATGATCCCAGAGACTAAATTCCTACCACGGAGGCCTCTGAACCTCACTGCCCTTATCATTCACATCTACGATAATAATTAAAATGTTTTTAATCCTGATGTGTACTTCTGCTCCCAAATTTAAATTCTATTCTTTTGGTTCACAAAATCACTCAAGAATGAATCATTTAAATAATATAAGCTTGCCTGTGTGGGACTAATTTCAAGAGCACACAGCCAATATGAAGGCTTAGTGAAAAGCCTAACAAACCACATCAGTGCTCATCCGTAATTTCTAAAATAAACACTAAAATCATTGGGTTTGATTTCAACAAGGGGAAAATTTTTTTTTCCAAAATCAAAATCTATTGAAACAAGTAATTAAACACGTACAGATTTTCTGGAAGTAAAAGAGTCATAACAACGTAATGAATATAGGATATATAGGATAGTGATATAATAATTAAACAGCTAAGATTCACTCCCTCTTTCCTGCACCAAAACAAATAAAGGTAGTAAAGTCAAGTTAATACCCTTTATTTCTAGTAGGATACAGAATAGTATATTCCAAGTAGGGACTACCAGAGTACTGGATAGTGTGAGCATATCTGTATATATTTAGATATCTAGATGGACCTATGAAAAGACCAGAAGAAATCATTCTATTATAAGCGAGTATAATATGAATCCAAGAGGGTCCATACCTTCCATCGATTTCCACATTCATTACAGACAACGAATGTTGTCATTGGTTCATCAGCACTACGGGTTTGCACCTGCAGTAAAATTAAGTTAAATATACTTTTTCCAGTACTATAAAAAAAACCCCACCCAAATAAAAATGCTATACATAAAAATATAGAATATTTAATACATATGATGGTACCACAATAAAATGAATAAAAGTCAGAAACAAGTTCAAATAAGCTAAATAATGTCAACAGAGCACATATTTCCAAACTTCACTTTCCTAAGTCCTTCTTTATCTTTCCTGTTTAATATATCCCAGATAAGTGGGAAAATCTTCTAAAGTCACACCTTATACTTTTTATAAACAGCTAATACATATTTTTAAAATTCATCAATAAGTTATTTGGATCTCAAAAACAATTTCATCAGTAAGAAGGACAGAAATGAATAAATTGAAACATGTGTCAATATTCTCTTACAAAATAAGATGTTAAAAAACATAACTGCCACAACTTTTCTAAGAGTTAGGCAGTATTCTTTGTAACCCAGAAACTTGGTATCTAAAAGATGGTAATTAAAAACACAAAAATACAAAGAATGTTTGAAGAGTATAATTTTGTAACAGCACATTAAAAACAAATATCCAACAGGGAAATAACATAAAGTAAGAGTATATCCATCTGATGAAATATTACACAGCCAGAAAAATGCTTACAAAGGTTTTTTTGTTTGTCTGCTGTTGGTTTTAAACAACTAAGAGGGAGAGAACTCCAGATGTATTTGGTTCCTTCAAGCATTTGTTCAGCAAGATTAAAAGTTAAAAATGGCACCAAACAAAAAATAACCAGAGACTAGCAGTTTAGGCAGGCTGCAAAGGACCTGAGATTTTGGAAAATGCTAGAAAAGGATCAAAAAGCCAAAATTGGCCAGGCATGGTGGCTCACATCTGTAATCCCAGCATTTTGGGAGGCCATGGAGGGTGGATCACGTGAGGTTTGGGGTTCGAGACCATCCTAGCGAACATGTTGAAACCCCCGTCTCCACTAAAAAAATAAGAAAAATTAGCCACGCCTGGTGGAGGGCACCTGTAATCCCAGCTACTCGGGAGGCTGAGGCAGGAGAATCATTTGAATCCAGGAGGCAGAGGTTGCAGTGAGCCGAGATCACACCACTGCACATCAGCCTGGTCAACAGAGGGAGACTGTCTCAAAAAAAAAAAAAAAAAAAAAAAAAGAAAAGAAAAAACCGAAACAGGGCAATTTCAAGCAAGAACAAAACAAAAAGTCAAATAACTAGATGTTACTTCTTTTTGAATTGAAAACATCTCCTAAAATATACAGAAATAGTAGGAGAGAGATTTACTGGGAACAAAGCTACCTTTCAACAATATGAATAAAATCTTATTCTGAACATGGTAAAATTTTTATTCATAGATGTTCTTAATTGCGGATGACTGATAAATTTGTATTGTATATTCCTACAGATTAGTCATAATTAAATTATTTTGCCTGAATTGTAGGGTTTATAAAATGTTCATATTTTATGAAGTTCAATTCTAACTAGAGGAAATTTACTCTTCTTTTTTATTTTGTATTGTTTTGTTTGTTTCGTTTTGGGGATGAAGGTTCACTCCTGTTGTCCAGGCTGGAGTGCAGTGGTGCAATTTTGGCTCACTGCAACCTCCAATTCCTGGGTTCAAGTAATTCTCCTGCCTTAGCTTCCCAAGTAGCTGGGATTACAGGTATGTACCAACATGCCCAACTAATTTTTTGTATTTTTAGTAGAGATGGGGGTTTCACCATCTTGGCCAGTCTGGTCTCAAACTCCTGACCTCAGGTGATCTGCCTGCCTCAGCCTCCCAGAGTGTTGGGATTACAGATGTGAGCCACCAAGCCTGGCCTACTCCCACTTTTTAGCAAGGCTGTTTACAATTCTATGTAAAAATAGCAGCAGTATCTACTCTTAAGTTTGTCTAAAGGTTAGGGATGATTTGAAAAAAAAAATAATACATTAATTTCTCTGGAAACAGGAGGCATATTTAAATAGCTATTAAAATAATTTCTTTTTCTTTTCTTTTCTTCTTTTTTTTTTAGACGGGGTTTCACCGTGTTGGTCAGGCTGGTCTTGAACTCCCGACCTCAGGAGATCCGCCCGCTTTGGCCTCCAAAATGCTCGGATTACAGGCATGAGCCACCACGCCCAGCTAAATAATTTATTTTTCTAGCCATAAAAGATGGAAGTAAAGAACTTTTGTTTATCATGTTATATATAGTTTGTTTATGAAATTAATTTGTAGATAAAAGAGCAAAATATTTTTATTATTTTTGTATAGCACTGATTTATGTTATGCAACTCAGATAGACTATTCTCTGGAAAAAGATAAAAATGCTGACATTATGGCACCTGAGTTACAAGAAGAGTATAAAATAGTTTTTACAGTATTTAATTCCAACTATACATAGAAAAAAATCATAAAATATTGCAGACAACAAAATACTGATAGCTGTTCTCTTTGGAAGGCAGCTTAATGAATGACTTAAATTTATTACTCATGTTTTTCTGTATTTTCCTAATTTCCTATAAGCAGTTACTACTGCAATTCCACTGCTGGGTACATAACCAAAAGAAAGGAAGTAGAGTCTCAAAGAGGTAACTGTACACACAAGTTCACAGCAGCTTTATTCACAATAGCCAAAAAGTAGAAGCAACCCAAGTGTCCATCAACAGACGAATGAATATATAAAAAGTGGTATGAACATACAATGGAATATTATTCAGCCGTAAAAAGGAGGGAAAGTCTGACATACGCTACAACACAGATAAACCTTGCAGACATTATGCTAAGTGAAACAGGCGCCAGTCACAGTAAGACAAACACTCTATAATTCTACTAATGTTAAGTACTTGGCATAGTCAAATTCTGAGAGATAGAAAGCAGAATGGTGGTTGTTGAGCTGGGCAGAGGAGGAATGGGGAGTTATTGTTTAAGGGGTAAAGAGTTTCAGTTTTGCAAGAGGAAAAGCATTCTGGAGACTGGATACAAAGCACTGTGAATGCTCTGGTACTGAACAGTACACTTAAAACTTACTGGTTAAGATGGGAAATTTGAGGTTATGTATATTCTACCACAACTACTTTTTTTAACTTAAAAAGAGAACTCAGTAAGAAAAAAAGCTGGCCGGGCACGGTGTCTCATGCCTGTAATCCCAGCACTTCGGAAGACTGAGGCGGGCGGATCACGAAGTCAAGAGATCAAAACCATCGTGACCAACATGGTGAAATCCCATCTCTACTAAAAATACATTAGCTAGGTGGCACACAGCTATAGTCCCAGCTGCTCAGGAGGCTGAAGCAGAAGAATTCCTTAAACCCAGGAGGCAGAGGTTGCAGGGAGCCAAGATTGCACCATTGCACTAGAGCCTAGTGACAGAGTGAGACTGTCTCAAAAAAAAAAAAAAAAAAAAGAAAGAGAAAAAAAGCTAACATGGGTTTTAAAAAGTTTATAAATTTCTGAAGTTCTAAACTGAAGAGAATTGCCAGAACCAAGGGTCTCAAAACCAGAAAGGTTATTTCTCTGAATGAAGATGACAAAGCATTATTAAAGTTAAATGTTATTCTTAAGTTTAAGTTGTGACAGGAACATAAATACGAACAATGCTGAATTTTAAATATGGTATATTGAAATGCAGTATGAGATGATAAAATCCCAGCTTATCACCACTTCCAAGATCAAAGCTTCATGACACCAGTAAACTATTAACGTGACTTCCAACTCAAAGGCCCAAAGGAAGACAAAGCAGCACCATCCTCAGAACAGCAGTATTCTGCTTAGTTAAGGCCTTGAGATAAAAATGGTTTGAAACCTCCAGCTATACTTTACATATACTTAATTCTGATATCTAGGGCCCCAAAAGTAGACATGATGAATCTTTTGCTCTGTGGGAAAAATTTTAATCTCCTCTGGGGTATACAGTAACCAAGAGTTAAACTTATTTCTTTTACATCTGTTATTTCCATAAGAACTCTGAGCATTTTCTTTTCTTTTCTTTTCTTTTTCTGAGACCAAGTCTCACTCTGTCACCCAGGCTGGAATGCAGTGGCGTGCGATCTTGGCTTACTGCAACCTCTGCCTCCTGGGTTCAAGCAATTCTCCTGCCTCAACCTCCCAAGTAGCTGGGACTACAGGCACCTGCCACCATGCCCAGCTAATTTTTTGTGCTTTTAGTGGAGATAGGGTTTCACCATGTTAGCCAGGATGGTTTCGATCTCCTGACCTCGTGATCCACCCATCTCGGCCTCACAAAGTTCTGGGATTACAGATGCTCACCACACCCGGCGGAACTTTGAGAGTTTTCTGTCTGAAGAGAACACTGCGATTCTAAGAAAATCATACTGCCGGCAGAAGCAGGATGACGAAGGGAACGTCATGTTTGGGAAGCGTCGTAATAAGACACACACGTTGTGCCGCCGCTGCGGCTCTAAGGCCTACCACCTTCAGAAGTCGACCTGCGGCAAATGTGGCTACCCCGCCAAGCGCAAGAGAAAGTATAACTGGAGTGCCAAGGCTAAAAGATGAAATACTACCGGGACTGGTCGAATGAGGCATCTAAAAATTGTATACCGCAGATTCAGGCATGGATTCCGTGAAGGAACAACACCTAAACCCAAGAGGGCAGCTGTTGCAGCATCCAGTTCATCTTAAGAATTTCACCGATTTAGTCATGCAATAAATGTTGTGGTTTAAAAAAAAAAAAAACATACTGCCTTCAACTTTAGGCTGCGTTATTTCTGCTAAAAGAAACAAACTTGATATTTATGACTTTTTGTCTTAGCTATCTGTAATTTGATTAGATATCACTTCTACTTTGTACATTTTAAAGACACTTTAGCTTTTAAATAACTTTCTATTAATACTTAATATTTTCTAATATATGGCATTTTTAGGGTACAATTTTTATTGCTAAGATATTTCTACCTGGCTAAAAGAAAAAAGAGTAATTTGACAGGGTATGGTGGCTCATGCCTGTAATCCCAGCACTTTGGGAGGCCAAGGCAGGTGGTCACAAGGTCAGGAGTTCGAGACCAACCTGGCCAACATGGTGAAATCCCATCTGTACTAAAAATACAAAAATTAGCCGGGTGTGGTGGAGGGCACCTGTAATCCCAGCTACCCGGGTGGCTGAGGCAGGAGAATCATTTGAACATGGGAGGCGGAGGTTGCAGTGAGCCAAAATCGGGCCATTGCACTCCATCCTGGGCAAGAGAGTGAGACTCTGTCTCAAAAAAAAAAAAAAGCAATTCAAACTCAGAATTTTCCCAAACCACTTTTTATCAATGTTGATGCATTTTAGTAACAATTAGTAGTAAAACTGCTACAAAATCAAACATGAAAATACCCAACTGTGAATAAATGAGATTTCAAAAAGGTAAAAGACATCAGATTGGTTAAACGAAGTATATCTGAAAATGGAGATTACATGCCTATAAAAAGTAAAAAGAGGCAGAAACTCATATAACATTCTACCATATGTGTTTAGAAAAAGGAAAACAAAGATAGTTTCATGTATACACGTAAAATACCTAGGAAGTTCCACAACAAACTGGTAACCTTGCTTTACTTCCAGGGAGGGAGAACGAGGTGGCCACAGGCAAAAGTGGGAAGGGAATTTTCTACTTATAACCTTTTTTACCTTTTGAATTTTTAAACCACAAACATAACTACCAACAAAATTTTAAAGTAAAGCCTCCTTTAGTTTAGTGATGGTATTTTTGCTTAATTTTCTATCATTGAGAAAATTCAATTTCCCAAATCTACAGTCTGAAACATAGTAAGTTGTCCCTTAAGGAGATAATTTAGAGTTTACAGCAGATGACATAGCACAAAAACCTATTTGGCAAATGAAATGAAGACAGTCATAAAAACAATTTTCACACAAGCACATGCAACCGTAATAACTATAACATGCTTTTCAGCTGTTGAAGAATATCATACATAAATGTAAGTTATCAGTGTTACAAAAAGGAACAAGTTTTCCAGAAGCCAGGTAAGCTGAAAATACCCATAAGCCATGTCAGGGAGGGTGAAGGACTTTCCTTAAAGTATATAGTCTGGCAAAATAAAAAGGATTCTGGACAATTTACCTAGTAACCAATACAACTATTTATGAACTGTTAAAATAACATGGTCATTTTATTCATTCTTATATTGTATAAGTTGTATTTGACCTAGCTTTCATACTATTTCCATGAGAGTATAAATATATCAACTTATTTTTAGTTAACTAGAATCAGTATTAAGAAAGCATTCTGGCCAGGCACAGAGGCTCATGCTGGTACTCCCAGTACTTTGGGAGGCTGAGGTGAGAGGATCATTTGAGTCTGGGAATTGGGATCAGCCTGGACAACACAGCAAGACCGCATCTCCACCAAAAAAAAATTTTTTTTTAAAGAAATCATTCTTACACTTAAAAAAGAAACCTTATCTCCTCTTGAATTAGTCCCCAGTTATCCACGGGCTTTCTTTCCATGGTTTCAGTTACCAGTGGTCCAAAAATATTAAGTGAAAAATTCCAGAAATAAACAACTCATCGGTTTTAAACTGCACGTTGTTCTGAGTAGCATGAGGAGAGCCTGTACTATCCTACCCTGTCCCACTTGGGATATAGATCATCCCTTTGTCCAGTGTGCATTACTGTATATGCTACCTACCCATTAATCCTCCATATCATCAGGGCTCGATGAGACAGGACCACCTGAAGCAGATGAGCCTCCTTCTGACGGATCATCAGAAGGTCAACAGCAGCCTAACACTTAGTCACAATGATGACATCATTCATTTTGCTTCATCTCATCACATGAACAGAGGTGAGTACAGTACAAGATATTGTTGTGGGAGACAGAAACTACATTCACATTACTTACATAACAGTATCTTGTTATAATTGTTCAATCTGATTAACAGTTATTGTTGTGAATCTCTTTCTATGCCTAATTTATAAATCAAACTTAACAGTATGTATGTATAGGAAAAAATACGGTATATACACGGTTAGGGACTATCTGTAGTTTCAGGCATCCACTCAGGGTCTTAGAACATATCTCTCCATGGATAAGTGAGGGACTATTATGCTGGAATTATCTTTGCTATTTATTTTAAAACAGTAATTGCAAGCATTCTTAATATAAAGTAAGAATCTATAAATAATCACAAACCTGTGTGTAAGTGCAATTCTTCTTTTTACATTTGCCACATGTGAACAAGTCAGTCTGGGTCCCACCAGTCTTGGCCATCTGATGCTCTCTGATGGCTTCTTTGGTCAAGTTTTTCCGCATCTCTTTCAGCTCATCACTAGCCATTTCCTATGAGGGAGGGGGCAATACCACTCATTTATAGACACCTTCTAAATATATCCTGAATGCTTTTATGCTCGATTAGCCTAATAATAAAACACATATCAACCTTTAAAGTTTTAAAAGCATTAAACTAATACTTTTCTTCACAGGCCTTTTAAGAGTTTAATTTCTTTAAAAATTTTTTCTTTTCTCTTTTACTTTTTTTTTTTTTTTTTTTTTGAGACGGAGTCTCGTTCTGTCGCCGGGCTGCAATGCAGTGGTGAGATCTTGGCTCACTGCAACCTCTGCCTCCCAGTTTCAAGTGATTCTGCTGCCTCAGCCTCCCAAGTAGCTGAGACTACAGGCATGCGCCACCATGTTCAGCTAGTTTTTTGTATTTTTAGTAGAGATGGGGTTTCACCGTGTTAGTATGGTCTCATCTCCTAACCCCATGATCCACCCCTCCCAGTCTCCCAAAGTGCTGGGATTACAGGCATGAGCCACCGTGCCCAGCCTTAAAATATTTTCAGAGTCTTAAAAGCTTATATGTGAAAATTAGATTTAAGTATTATTTAAAGTCTAATTTTCATTAGACTTTGCAAAGATTATGACAGTGAGCGAAATCTAACATGGCTAACTCCATCTTGCTTCTAGTGTCACAGGCTGGCTATCTTCCCATTCCTGGGCACAGGCCAACCTAAGCATGGGAGGAATTTAGTTTATAATTTAACTTTGATACAAGGATGGTAACAGTCCTTCCCTAAAAGTGATCCCTCCTCTTTCAGAGCCTGAGATCACCTTTGCAAGACTAATGAAAGGCCAGATTAGGATTATGGGAAGGGTCTGAACTCTGCTAAAATGTACGTGTAGTTTCTATAAATCCCTCACTGCTCAGGAGTCATGTGGCAAGAGCGCACAAGGTATGTGACTTCCCTAAGTGCCCCTATAGGTAACATTATTATTGTAGAACCTCAGATTGGTTTTTCTGAGATGTTTTTCAGACTGAGCCCTCTAGAACTCAGGCCCCTCACCCAGAGGTACAGAAGGAACAGTTCCCACATCCCTGTGATTGCAACCCAACCAATCAACACAACCCATTCCCTAGTCACCCAGGAACAGTCACCACCAAACTATCCTTGAAAAACTCTAATCTCCAAGTCTTCAGGGTGACTGACTTGAGTAATAACTTCATCTTCTGCATGGCCAGCCTTGAGTTAATAAAGCTTCCTCAACTGCAAAGGGCAACCTCAGAGAATTGGTTTTGTCTGTGCAGTGACAGAAGAAGCTGTCAGGTGATTACACTATGAACATTGTAAAACTACAGCAATGAGCACCTCTAGTACCAGATTACAGCCTCTAATACCACCGCCTCCACCCCACCCCCAAAAGAAGTCAGGAATCTCTGGAGGAATGAATGTCTGATTCCAGTTTTGAGGCAAGAAATGTACAGAATATGCCAGGGTCATCTTCCGTGCTGGTTTTTACTAGCTACAGTCCTACTTTTCTTTCTCTTACTCTGCGCTATTGTGCTTCATTTTATTGTCCTTTGCAGATACTGCATTTTTTTTTTACAAATTGAAGGTGTGCAGCAACACTGTGTTGAGCAAGTCTATTGGCATTATTTTTCCAACAGCATGTGCTCATTTCATGTCTCTGTGTCACATTTTGGCAATTCTACAGTATTTCAAGCATTTTCACTATTATTATATCTGTGATCAGTAATTTCTCATGTTTTGAGAAATCATCATTGTTTTGGCGGCACCACTAACTGTGACCATACAGGACAGTAAACTTGACAAGTGTGTGTGTTCTGACTGCTCCACTCTTTCCCTGTTTCTCTACTTCTCTTTGGGTCTACCTACTCCCTGAGAAATGACAATACTGAAGTTAGGCCAATTAATAACTCTATAATGGCCTCTAGGTATTCAAGGACAAGGAAGAGTCAACGTGTCTCTCACTTTAAATCAAAACCTAGAAATGACTAAGTTTAATAAGGAAGGCATGTGGAAAGCTGGGGTAAGCCAGAAGGTAGGCCTCTTCCACCAGTTAAAGTGCTACTCCAGTGAACAAATGAATAATGATCATAATAGCCTTACTACTGATATGAAAACGTTTCAGTGGCCTAGACAGAAGATCAAACCAGCCACAACATTCCATTAAGCCAAAGCCTAATCTAGAAGAAGGCCTAACTCTTCAATGCTGCGAGAGACGAGGAAGCTGCAGAAGAAAAGTTAGAGGATACAAGAGGCAGGTTTGTGAGGTTTAAGGAAAGAACGTAACACAGTGTAAAATGCAAGGTGAAGTAGCAAGTGCTGATGGAGAAGCTGCAAGTTATCCAGAAGACCTAGTTAAGATCATTCATGCAGGCAGCTATTCTGAACAACAGGTTGTCAATGTTGATGTAAACTGGAAGAGGGTGACATCGAGAACTTTCATAGCTAGAGAGAAGAAGTCAATGCCTGGCTTCAAAGCCTCAAAGGACTTTGAAGGACTCTCTTGTTAGGGGCTAAGGCATCTGGTGACTTCAAATTGAAGCCAACACTCATTTACCATTTTGAAAATCTTAGGGCCCTTAAAAGAGTTATGCTACATCTACTCTGTCTGTGTTCTATAAATGAAATAACAAAGCCTGGATGACAGCACATCTATTTAAAGCACGATTTAATGAATATTCTAAGCCTACTGCTCAGAAAAAAGATTTCTTTGAAAATATTCCTACTCATTGACAATGCACCTAATCATCAATATACCTAGTCATCCAATAGCTCTGATGGAGATATACAAGGACATTAATGTTGTTTTCATGCCTGCTAACAACAACATTCATTCTGCAGTTCATGGATCAAAGACTAATTCTGACTTTTTTTTTGAGACAGGGTTTCACTCTGCTGCCCACATTGGAGGCGCAATCTCAGCTCACTGAAACCTCCACCTCTCAAGTGATCCTCCCACCTCAGCCTCCTGAGTAGCTGGGATTATAGGAACATGCCCCCATGCCCAGCTAATTTTTTTTTCTTTTTGGACAGATGGGAATTCACCATGTTGCCCAGGCTGGTCTCCAACTCCTGGGCTCAAGCAATCTGCCCATCTTGACCTCCCAAACTGCTCGGATTATAGGCATAAGCCACCATGCTAAGCTGACTTTCAAGTTTTATTATTTCAGAAATACATTTTGCAAGGCTGTAGCTGCCCAAGGAAAAGTAATTCCTCAGATAGATCTAGGTAAAGTAAACTGAAAACCTTTTGGAAAGGATCACCATCCTAGATGCCATTAGGAACATTAGTGATTCATTGGGAAGAGGTCAAAATATCAACATTTAGAAGAGTTTAAAAGAAGTTGACTCCAATTATCATAAAAGACTTTGAGGGGTTTGACTTCACTGGAGGAAGTAACCACAGAGGTGCACGGTGGCTAACACCTGTAATCCCAGCACTTTGGAAGGCTGAGGCAGATGGATCACCTGAGGTCAGGATTTCGAGACCAACCTGGCCAAAGTGGTGAAACCCCGTCTCTACTAAAAATACAAAAATTAGCTGGGTGTAGTAGCAGGCGCCTGTAATCCCAGCTACTCGGGAGACTGAAGCAGAAGAATTGCTTGAACCTGGGAGGCGGAGGTTGCAGTGAGCCAAGATCACACCATTGCATTCCAGTCTGGACGACACACCGCAACTCCATCCCCCACTCACCCCTACTCCAAAAAAGAAAGTAACTGCAGATGTGGTGAAAAAATGAGAAGGAAAATTAGAAGTGGAGCCTGAAGAGGTGACTGAGTTGCTTCAATCTTATAATAAAAGCTAAACAGATGAGTTGCCTCTTGTGGATGAGCAAAAAGTGATTTCTCGAGATAGAACCTATTTCTGGTGACAATGCTGTGAACATTGTTGAAAGGACAACAAAGGATTTAGAACATTACATCAACTTAGTTGAAAAAGCAGCAGTGGCATCTGATAGCACGAACTCCAATTCTGAAAGAACATCTACTGTGGACAAATGCTGCTAACAGCATCATAAGCTACAAAGAAATATTTCATGAATATTTGCTCCATCAGTACAGCAAACTTCCCTGTCTTATTTTACAAAATTATCACAGCCACCTCTACCTTCAATAACCCTAACCAGTCAGCAGCTGCCAACATACAGGCAATGCCCTTTTCCAGCAGAAACAGCATGACTTGCTGAAGGCTCAGAGGATCATTAGCAATTTTTAGCAAGGCGTATATTGTTTAGCAAGGTATAAGGTGTACACTGTTTTCTTAGATATAATGCTATTGCCTTCAGCAGATTATAGTATAAGCGTAACTTTTATATACACTGAAAAGTCAAAACTTTGTGTGACTCACTTTATTGCAATATTCACTTTATTGCTGTAGTCCACTCCAAACTTGCAATATCTCTGAGGTATGTTTGTATATGGAAGAAAAATCCACCCTCTTGAATGTTTACTAAAATGGTGAAATTATAGATACAACATAGCTATTACCTATGAACAACCATGTCTATAAACAGCAAGCTATGAATTTCATTTTTTTCCATAAGTCCCTATAAGGAGAATCGCTTGAACCTGGGAGGCAGAGGTTGCAGTAAGCTGAGACAGCCATTGCACCCCAGCATGGGCGACAAGAGCAAAAATAAAAGAAATAATCAGTAAGATGTGACCCATTTTATAGTGTTTAACCATGAAAAAGGGTTGGCACTCACGAAGTGTACTTGCAATTAGAGATTCAACTCTGGTTCTATAAGAATTCATAAAAAGTAAAACACTTTTATTTTTGGACAATAATTTAATGTAATCACCCTAAAATCATGGAAGCAGCTTTGTTTGCTCAAAGTATTGATGATAAAAAATACAATTACCTTAAGTATTTGTCTAGTATATATCAGAATAACTAATGGAAATTTATTACATATGCAATATTTATATAGTACTCTAACATGATAACAGGCTCTACACTTCACAACACGGAATCACATTACAGAAACCTCAGATTCATGCATACTCACCTCTGCTGTCATTCTAGCAAATAAGTCAGGAGGAATATTCCCACAGAGGACGTTTTTCCTTAAATTTGGATTCTTTGCATCTTTAAGATTTGATATCCTACTTCGTACTCTATTTTTGTATTTCATGTCTGTATTCCTTATTTCTTGATATATAGGTATGAAGCCATTAAGGAAAAAAGGTAAAATTATAAAAAATAAGATCATTTCCCGCCCCCCATTCTGCCAAAATAAGAATTCCTGAAATTTCCAAGCAACTCACAACTGTTTCCAATTTAGGCTATGTTAAAAACAAGGTACTATATCTAATTCCTTGAACTGAAATTGGCAAACAATAGCAATATTACCTTTCCACTATAAACTAGTTGGTTTTTTGGGGGGTGGGGCAGGGAGGGGAAGAGTCTCGCTCTGTCACCTAGGCTGGAGTGCTGTGGTGAAGTCTCAGCTCACTGCAACCTCCACCTCCCTGATTCAAGCAATTCTCCTGCCTCAGCCTGGGATTACAGGTCCACCATAATGCCCGGCTAATTTTTGTATTTTTAGTAAAGACAGGTTTTCACCATGTTGGCCAGGCTGGTCTCCAACTCATAACCTCAGGTGATCTACCCGTCTTGGCCACCCACAGTGCTGGGATTATGGACACAAGCCACTACACCTGGACTAGTCATGTTTTATTTCCTAAAGGTTTAGTGCCAGCACCATGTGAGTCAACAGCATTTCAAAAAGTAACTCAAGTACTCAACATGAGAAAGCATATGTTTTAAAAAGAGCTTGAACTTATTCAAATTTTACTTGCTCAAATCTGAATTCTACTAAGGAACCTGAAAGTCTCTCTGGTCACACAGTTCCTGTAGGGTCTCTGAGAAGAGACCATTCAGCACAGCTGTGGGGATTCATCTCCTCCCCTAGCTCAGCAGGAGCTACCTCAGCAGGCTCTTTTCATCTTCAGAAGAGGCCACTGCCAAAGCTGAAGCCTGGAACAGCTCCCTTCCTAACAACCAGGAATTTCCTCAACCAGGACAGTCCCATGTTACACAGCTGCCTAGATGTTCCGGGCCCCTACCCACACACAGTACCCCTCTCCTGGAGCCCTTTCCCAGTGCTCAGTATGAACACACTTCCTCCGGGATAATGAGCTCAGGTGACTGTGAACTGAGGTCCTGAGAAGTCTTCACATTTACGTGTGTGTGTGCTTTCTATGCCCTTCTGCACAACTTAAATTCAGACATTACATTCTCTATATACAAGGCAGAAGAAATTGAAATGCCATCAATACTGTACTTTACTTTTAAATAACAAAAAGAGAAAACAAGACAAATAAAATGATATAAATGTCCCACTCCTTTCCAAGAAAACAAAACATTCGAGATAGAAACTGAAGACTTTGAATTCTATACCAGCAGGAAAAATTGTCATTAAGCTAGCAAATTACTTTAAAAAATTACGAGTATATACAAAAAGGATATCTTCTTCAATTTGAGATCCTAATTCTTCCTCATCAGCTCCAATTGCAATGTAGTCATCTAAAAACAGGCATAAAGAATTGTCAAGTTATTATAACAAATTAAAAGAAAATTCTAATACCAGGTAATTAAATTGCATTTCTGTTTCTTCAACCCCATTTGCCTGACATAAAGAAGCCAGTCAGTTTAGTTTCGTTAGAATCTGGTCTCTTCTAATCCATGTCCTGTGCTGTTAAAAAAGAAAAAAAAAAGATAAAAAAAAGAATCTGGTCTCTTCACTGCTCACTAGACTTCCTTTTCTGGGCTTCACCTGATACCCACAGTGCTCCTGCACTGATGACTTCTGATCCCTCAGACATGGGAAGTAACTGATCTAGCAGGCAACTTTAACTCCATAAATTCTGGCTCCTCCAGAAGAGAGTAGAGAAAGTTACAGAAAGAACTGTCTTGTCTCCTGCTACTCAGGCTTCAATGCAAAGAAACCATCCAATTTAATCTGCCAGTCACACATACAGACTCCTATACAAATATTCAAAAGGATAGAAGGAAATAAACTAGGAGAATATATGTGTATGTGTATATATGTGTGTGCATATATATGTGTATATACGTACATGTTACATATTAATATATATGTACATATATACTATATCATATATACATATATGTGTGCATATATACATATATACATGTAATCATATACATACACATATATGTGTATATATGTATATATACATACATGTGTATATATATACATATATACATACATGTGTATATATACATACACGTGTATATATATGGGGAGAGAGTGAGACAGCGAGAGAGACAGTAAGGAAATCAAAGTAGAAAGGGCAGAGTAAGGAAAAAAACAGGTCAAACTAGCTATGGTCCAGAATAAGAGAAAAGAAAAAGGATGAATCTGTATAAGATGACAAATATTCCTGTATTTAAAACTTTAAAGCCAAAATGTTACTTGTTAAGACTGGATCCCTTCAAATCAAATTAAGCTCCCACATATAAATCAAACCCCCTCCCTTTTTAAAGTAGACAATGGAAGTATGAATACAAAACTATATGTCATACTATTTATTTAATAATTCAGTATTGTTAACTCTCAATATAAGATCAGGGTACATAGTTTGCAGACTAAATTGTGGGGAAACGAAAGATTTGTGAGGAAAACGTGTACGTTACTATGAAATGAGGGAAAACATCCATGTATTAGAGGAATCTATTTCTTGCAATTACACAGTAACAAGCAAATGCCCCAGTCCTCCTCCTCCTCCTCCTCCACTTAACAGACCACTATCAGCAACAACCTCTCCCTGAGCTAAGCAGCACTGGGTAGCTATGCACAGGGTGACACTCATCAAACAGCAATATGGCAGTGGTTGGCGGTGGTGACCAAAGGGCTGAGAAATAAAACAACACGCACTGGGCTCACCTCCTGTTCGAAGAGCTGCAGCAAGCATCTCCCTACACTTCAACCGCACAGAATCAGAAGTGCTGGGTGCCCGAGGAAAGGATGACACGTAAGTATCTCGAGCATTTCTCTCATCCTTTCTGTTGCTCACATTGCCGCTGGAGGTACTGAAATACGCACACACAAACACCCCAAAAAGAAATCAAAAACAATCCTCTCAAAGTAACAATATTACTATCGTGCAAAATTACTATCATGGGGCCTAAAAAAATGACACAGTAGCTCAGTGGCCTTTATGTGAGGGGGAAAAACATCATCTGCATACAGATTAAAAAGAAGTTAAAAATTTTATAATTTAGTAAAGAGACTAGGCTCAGGTCTTTTTAAAAACCCAACTAAACATGTTACCTTTGATTCTCCTTTTAAATATTAAGCATTTTTTTTTTTCTGAGACGGAGTCTTGCTCTGTCACCCAGGCTGGAGTGCAATGGTGTGGGTCTTGGCTCACTACAACCTCCACCTCCCAGGTTCAAGAGATTGTCTTGCCTCAGCCTCCCGAGTAGCTGGAATTACAGGCACTCTCCACCACACCTGGCTAATTTTTTTATTTTTAGTAGAGACGGGGTTTCACCATGTTGGCCAGGCTGGTCTCCAACTACTGACCTCATGATCTGCCTGCCACGACCTCCCTAAGTGCTGGGATTACAGGCATGAGTCACCACGCTTGGCCAATATTAAGCAATATTTTTAACAGAGAAAATACCCATTACAGTTCAGTACAATAAATGAAAAGCAATGACCTTGGTATGAGAAGAGGGAGGAAGGGATGAGACCAGAAAATGACAGCTTTCAACTAAAACTAGAGACAGGCAGAGTGCAAGCTCAGAGAGAGGGAGGGAGGAAGAGGAGGAAGGGCAGGGGGAGAGAGAGAGGGAGGCAGAGAGGAAGGGAGGGAGGGACAAGAAAGAGAGAGAGAGAGAGAGAGAGAGAGAGAGAGAGAGAGAATGCTTGAAAAACCCTGTTTCACTGGGCATGGTGGTTCACATCTGTAATCCCAGCACTTTGGGAGGCTGAGACGGGCGGATCATTTAAGGCCAGCAGAGTTTGAATCCAGCCCAGGCAAAATGGTGAAACCCCATCTCTACTAGAAATACAAAAATTAGCTGAGCGTGGTGGCATTCACCTATAATCCCAGCTCCTTGGAAGGCTGAGCCAGGAGAATCACTGGAACCCAGGAGGTGGAGGTTTCAGTCAGCCAAGATTGCACCACTATACTCCAGCCTGGGTGACACAGCGAGGCTCCAACTCAGGGAAAGAAAAAGGAAAAAGGAAAACCTTGTTCCGCTTAGACAGTGAGGTCCTCAGTGAGACAAATATCATGTGTACAGATGAGTCGTGAGGCTACAAAATGGTGTGTTTCTTCCCAGAAACATCACCTCAATATGAACATTTGAGCAGTTTTATAATTTTCCAGTCAACCTAATCCTTTCAATTGCTTCTGAATAGCTTCTTATGCTGGATTATCTCTAAAATGGGTTCTTTTCAACATAATCTTCCTGGTTTCAATTAAGCTTTATTTCATTGAGGATAGCTGCCATAACCCTTTTCAAAGATTGATTAATCATCCACAACCCATAGATGTGACTTGCTGCAATACTGCAAGAACACATCCCCTTGCCTTCTCTCCAAAACATAACCACTGTTAGACTTCACAAATAGGTCCCTGTGGGTAAGACTGTCATTAGTACCTTCTAAGTTTAGTCAATTCCTTTTTGAAGCCTTCTCCGATTTCCCCCTGTATTCCTAAAATATTGATTCACACAGGTTTGTATATGATGACTTTTCATACACTTTGTCTCTATCAGACTGACTTTCTCAAGAGCAAAAACTAGGACTTAACTTTTCTTTATATTTTCATTATGTGACATAATGTCTGTCAGTAATAAATAAATGAGCAAACCAATGTTTAAAAACCCATTTCTTTGTTTTTAAGACTCCAGCCTGAGCAAGTGAGCAAGACTCTTCACAGTGGTGAAGAGCAAGAATGCTGTGCAGTGCTGCCATCACAGCTCAAGCAATCCTCCTGCCTCAGCCTCCTGGGTAACTAGGACCACAGGTGCACGCCACCACGCCCAGCTAATTTCAAAAATATTTTTTGGCTAGGCAAGCTGGCTCATGCCTATAATCCCAGGAGTTCAAGAGCAGCCTGCACAACATGGTAAGACACAGGGTCTACAAAAAAAGTTTTAAAAATTAGCCAAGCATGGTGGTATGCACCTGTGGTCCTAGCTACTTGGGAGGCTCAAGTGGGAGGCTCACTTGAGTCTGAGAGGTTGAGGTTGCAGTCAGAGAACCTTGACTACGCCACTGCACTCCAGCTTGGGTAAAAGAGCAAGACTCTGTCTCAAAAAAAAAAACCAAAAAACTTTTTGGGTCTCTCTATGTTGTTCAGGCTGCTTTCAAACTCCTGACCTCAAATGATAATCCCGCCTTGGCCTCCTAAACTATATAAGCCACCATGCCAGGCCCCAAAACCCACTTTTTTCTGAGACAGAATCTCACTCTGTCACCCAGACTGAAGTGCAGGGCAACAATCATGGCTCACTGCAGCCTTGAGCTCCCAAGCTCAGGTGATTCTCCTGCCTCAGCCTCTCAGCTGGGACCACAGGCATGTGCCATCACACCTAATTATTATTATTATTATTTGTAGAGACAAGGTCTCCCTATGTTGCCTGGGCTGGTCTCAAACTCCTGGGCTCAAGTGATCCCCCCACCTTGGCCTCCAAAAAGTGCTAAGATTATAGGTGTGAGCCACCACACCCAGCCAAACACCCACTTCTTAAACACTTTGATTAAATGCTTTTGCTTCTCTGAGTCTGCAGCCAAACGCTACACAGGAACCAAGGGAAACTGCCCAAATGAACTGAGGGAAACTTTTCCTCACTAGTTTCACTATTGCTGGTCCCACTTCCTACATTCTGATCCCTCCTTTAAGCATTTAAACACATTACTTTCTCCTTAAACTCTTGCACCCAAAACATAAAATCCTGCTTAGCTGCAAGCAACTTAGATTTAACCGTGTATCTTTCTTTACATGACTCCTCAGATCCATTTCTCCAATCCTCTTTTCTGTGTGTGTGTGCATGTATGTGTGGTGTGTGTAGACAGATACCAAGTAGTTACTTTGACAGACTTCATACATAGTAACTTGCTTTTGCAGACAGGCTCTAGACCTAAATGTCAAGCATATATAAAACTGATAAAAGACAACAAGAGGCTGGGCGCAGTGGCTCACGCTGGTAATCCCAGCACTTTTAAGAGGCCAAGGTGGGCACATCACTTGAGGTCAAGAGTTTGAGACCAGCCTGGGCAACATGATGAAACCCCGTCTCTACTAAAAGTACAAAAATTAGCTGGGTGTGGTGATGCACATCTCTAATCCCAGCTACTTGGGAGGCTGAGACAGGCGAATCACTTGAACCTGGGAGGCAGAGGTTGCAGTGAGCCAAGACTGCACCACAGCACTCTAGCCTGGGTGACAGAGCGAGACTCCACCTCGAAAAAATAAAAACGAAGACAGCGAGAGACTGAGGAACTATTCCAGATTTAAGGAAACTAAACAGGTATGACAGGTTAGAAAAAAAATACATAAATTTTATTAACAATTGTTGTTTAAGCCCACCTTTGACTTACCTCTTTTAATATAGTTAATACAGTTAATACGTTTAATATACATATTTAATATAGTTAACACAAATACAAACAATAACAGTGTATGAGATACTAACATTAACATGAGGAGTACATAGTCAACTTTGGGAAAATACTGAGAAACAAAGTTAAAATCGGTAGTAGCCTTAATGCTCTAAATACCTCAACACGGTCTGGGCTCAGTGTCTCACACCTATAATCCCAGCACTTTAGGAGCCTGAGGCAGGTGGATCACCTGTGGTTGGGAGTTCAAGATCAGTCTGGCCAACATGGTGAAACCCTGTCTCTACTAAAAATACAAAAATTAGTCAAGTATGGTGGCGTGCGCCTGTAATCCCAGCTACTCAGGAGGCTGAGGCAGGAGAATCATTTGAACTTGGAAGGCGGAGGTTGCAGTGAGCCAAGATCACACCACTGCCCTCCACCCTGGGTGACACAGTAAGACTCCGTCTCAAAAATGAAAAATAAACAAAAAAAAAGTAGGCCAGGCACAGTGGCTCACGCCTATAATTCAAGCACTCTGGGACACTGAGAAGGCCAGATCCCCTGAGGTCAGGAGTTCAAGATCAGCCTGGCCAACATGGCAAAACCCCATCTCCACTAGAAACACAAAAATTAACCAGGCATGGTGGGCACCTGTAATCCCAGCTACTTGGGAGGCTGACGGAGGAGAACTGCTTGAACCCAGGAGGTGGAGGTTATAGTAAGCCAAGATCGTGCCACTGCACTCCAGACTGGGCCAGCCCATAGACACCTCTACATCTCTAAGTGGTTTACACAGCAGCCAAAAGTTCAGGGACAGAATAGAAGTTGCTGCTCTAAAGCATGGGTTCTATAACTTGAGTGCATTGAATCACCTGAAAAGCTTATTAAAAAACAGATTTCTGGGCCCCTCCACACCGGAATCCCTGATTTAGTAGTTACAGGACAAGGCCTAAGAATCTGTATTTCTAACAAGCTGTCAGGGTCCCTCCCCTACCAAGGACCACACTTTTAAGAACCATTGCTTTAAATCAATGTTGACCGTTAACCTACCAGATTCCCAAGAACAGAGGAACAATTTGTATTTAACAACTATGTATACCCGATTATGGCAACATGTTCAACACTGCATAGCTCATAATATGTAATAGGAAAAAACAAATGCAAAGGTTTCGCAGGAGGTGAGGGACAATTTGAACTCTTCATTTAAGGTCTTGTGACAAACTACTTTTTTTTTTCTTCAAAACCAGGTCTCACTCCATTGCTCAGGCTGGAATGCAGTGGTGTGATCTTGGCTCATTGCAACCCTCCCGGGTTCAAGCAATTCTCCTATCTCAGCCTCCCAAGTAGCTGAGACTACAGACCACCATGCCTGGCTGTGTGTGTGTGTATGTGTGTGTAGAGAAAGGGTTTCACCAGGCTGGTCTCAAACTGCTAACCTCAAGTGATCCGCCCACCTCAGCTCCCCAAAATGCTAGGATTACAGGCGTGAGCCACCGCCTGGCCACAAATCGTTAAATTAGAAAGGAATTATAAAAGCATGTAAAGGAGAATGAGAGATAAAGAGCCAAAATAAATCCAAAAATGAAATGTGGTAAATGGAGGAAGTAACCATTTGAATCCCTAATCACTACCTCCATTATCAATTCTCAGTGCCTAACCCAGTAATCCCATTCAATTTAACTTGTTGAGTACAATATAAATAACTTATTTATTCAGTGTCTTCTACCTCTCAAATTTTCAAGAAATCTGAAAAAAAAACAAAAAACTTAGAATACTTGGTTACGTACATTTACTACTTCCATTTGATGAGAAAACAAAAAAAGGAGTGTAAATAGGGGAACATAAGATTATGGGGGAATTGATGGAGGAGGTAAAACTATGACTTGCAATATAAATATGGCTATACTGAGAAGCACCTTTCTTCTCTTGCTTCAGGGCTGTTCTGCGATGTAATTGCAGGTTCTTTTTTCTTTTCGTCAAGGTCTTTCTCAGTTGATGGCCCATCTGAAAATTATGAAATCTCTTAAGTTGCTAGCATTTGTAAAATAAAAACAACTGAAATACTGCATGTTAACAGGCTATTTGCACAACAACATGAACAAAAATCCTAATTTTCCCACAAGCGGATGAAGTTTGTGTAAGCTATTAGCATGTGTACTATTTTTCACAATGCAAGTTCAGTCAACACTCCCAAATAAATTTCGTCACTTGGTGGGAACTACAAATTCATATGCCATGGGAACCTAAAGGGAGAAAAGTATATGGAATGAAGAGATAGGAAGAATATGAAAATATCTGCACTGTTACTTTAAAAATAAAAGCACAGGCGGGTACACTGGCTCACACCAGTACTGGCCTGTGCTTTGGGAGGCTGAGGCAGGTGGATCACTTGAGCTTATGAGTTTGAGACCAGCCTGGGTAACATGACAAAATGCTGTCTCTACAAAAAATACAAAAATTAGCCAGGCATGGTGGTGCACACCTGTAGTCCCAGCTATTCAGGGGGCTGAGGTGGGAGGATGGCTTTTGCCCGGGAGGGGGAAGTTGTAGTGAGCCAATATTGTGCCACTGCATGCCAGTCTAGGCGATGGAGCCAGACCCTGTCTCAAAATAAAGTAAAATAAAATAAAAATAAAAGCATAAAGCATATACAGCAATATTGTTTTAATAATTTTTCATAAAGTTAGAAAATTTAAGGTGGTATCCAAAATATAAATAAATATTTCTGGGATGGCAAACAAAAAACACTTTCATAGAAAATACCTCAGGATAGTAAGACCTACCCAGCACCTTCTCTATCTTAAATGATCGCTAAAGTAATACAGAGTACACAAGCTTCAAGACTTAGAGGTAAGCAATTAGATATTATGCAATAATATACATAAAATAGGTTGAGTCAATGACATAGTTTTCCATTTAATCTCTGGCAGCGAGGTGCAAGCATCTTTATTTTTTAAAGTTCCTTAGACAACTTGAATATATAGTCATCTGGATGAGAATCACTGATAAGAGAATGGTTCAAATCACAACTGTAGAACTCATCCTGTAAAGTTGAAGTTTGTCAAACCTAAAATACAATTCAAGCCCTCTGATAAAACGTGTACATACACTTTTGTTTTCACATAATTTTACTGTCCTTGTTATTCTCAATAATTTACCTTGAAGGCCTCAAATCCCAAAGATGCTATAGCACTGTAACACTGAAAACAAAGATTAATAATGACACGTGGCAAGGACTAGAAATGGTCCATAAGTGATAGGGTGGAAAGCATTTAAAAGGGAAAACTGACAGAACAATGAAATATGATCAGCAAGGATCCAATGCCGCCAAAGGGACAGTAGAACTGATCTTACACACTGCTCTGGCACAATAAATTAGTGCAATCCTTTCGGAAAGCAGAGCAGTAAGAGGCATGAACAGCCTTAAAAGCATCCCTACTAACTGATATGGTGTTGTGAGCAACACAGCCCAGGCAGCAGGGAAAGAAGTGCTCCAGCTCTGGGCTCCAACTGTCTGCAGTCAAGTCCCAGCTTGGCTATTCAGCACCGATTCAACTGTGTGCAAGCTATTTAACCGCTCAGTGCCTCAGATGCCTCATCATAAAATGGAGATTATAACAGCATCTACTGGATTTGATTGTTTTGAGGATTAAATGCACTAATACAGGTCAGTGCTTGGCATACCTTAAGTATTCAAAAACGTGCTACCTAGTAGCAGTACCAGTAAATGTAGAAATCTAGCTAACAATGTGAAGAAAAAGCTTTAGGCAGAAAGATGTCCATCAAGACATTAGTTACAACAGCCATAAAGTTAAAAACAATAATAAATCTAACAACAGGCTGCAAGTGACCAACTAAAATATAGTATAGTCAACTGAATACATTATTCTGAAACCAATAAAAATGATAGTTAAGATGGAAAAGCAAATTATTTTCATTTAAAAAGTAGTAGCATAAGTAAAATTATAGTAGGGACAAAATTTATGCCAACTAAACTTAATAGTAATGTATTATAATCCATTGCACAGAAAAGGAATCTGCGAGTCTACGCTAATAGATACATAGCTAAGGGGTAAAAAGAAGGTTCTTCTTATAACAGAATGATGATTTTATAAATATTGAAGCAGAAAAGTCAGAAAAATCACAATTTTGCAATGACCACTCTACCACTACAAAGATTAGTTTGAGCAAAAATCAATGGATCCTAAATTGGGAGGGAAGGGGGAAGGTCTGTATAAGGTATAAGATCGTTTCAGGATCTTTTTATTTTAATTTAAAAAAACTTTTTTTTTTTTTTTTTTTGAGACTGAGTCTCCCTCTGTTGCCAGGCTGGAGTGCAGTGGCACAATCTCGGCTCACTGCAACCTCTGCCTCCCAGGTTCAAGCAATTCTCCTGCCTCAGCCTCCCAAGTAGCTGGGATTACAGGCGCGCGCCACCACACCCAGCTAATTTTTGTATTTTTAGTAGAGATGGGGTTTCACCATGTTAGCCAGGATGGTCTCAATCTCTTGTCCTCATGATCCGCCTGCCTTGGCCTCCCAAAGTGCTGGGATTAAATACGTGAGCCACTGCGCCCAGCCAGTTTCAGGATCTTCGAAGTGTCTCCTACAGAATGGCTATTAGCTACAAGAGGAACAACAATACACTATACAATCTAGCTTTGACTGGATTCTCAAAATTATCATCAATGACTCTGGATATGATACCTTGAGAAGGATGTAACATGCTTACATAGTATTCCAACTGCAGATGTAGAATCTGATCTAGTCACGAGGAAAAAAAAGCAGGCACGTCTCAATTACAGAATATGCTATTAAAAACAAAGGAGGGGCCAAATGTGATGGCTCACACCTGTAATCCTAACACTTTGGGAGGCTGAGGCAGGTGGATTGCTTGAGCCAGAGTCCGAGACCAGTCTGGGAAACATAATGAGACCCCGTCTCAAATAAATAAATAAATAACGAAGGAGGGCAGTGGTGGAGGTCTGCAGTTCCAGCTACTCAGGAGTCTGAAGTGGAGGAATGCTTGAACCCAGAAGTTGGAGGATTAGTCCAGGCAACATAGCAAGACCCCAATCTTTACACAAAACAAAAAAAGTGGTAGGGAAGGTGGTGGATAGGGGAATAAACTTGCTTCAAGGATCTAACTTAAAAATGTGGAGAAGTTCTGCCTTGAATATATTTCCTATTTTACTTTTAAACCAAAATCCAATTCTACTTTGCATTCATTACATCTGGTCATTTTCTGCATACTGCATAACTTATCCAAGTTCTATTTTTTTAAGCCCATTATCAATTAGATAAAAATCTGATTTGCACGCTGGGCACGGTGGCTCACACCTCTAATCCCAGCACTTTGGGAGGCCAAGGTGGAGGGATAACCTGACATCAGGAGTTCGAGACCAGCCTGGCCAACACGGTGAAACCCCGTCTCTACTAAAAATACAAAAATTAGCTGGGTGTGGTGGCAGGCGCCTGTAATCCCAGCTACTCGAGAGGCTGAGGCAAGATAATCACTTGAACCTGGGAGGCAGAGTTTGCAGTGAGCAGAGATCGTACTACTGCACTCCAGCCTGGACAACAAGAGCAAGACTTCATCTCAAAAAAAAAAAAAATTTTGATTTGCATGAAAGTGAATATTTAAAAATACACATTAGTGGTGACTGCATGAATGTATACATAGGATAAAACTGCTCAGAAGGATACATGCCCCTCCCGCCCCCCCGCCGCCACACACACCCGACATACTCTAGCACCTGTAGAAACTGATGAAATCTGAGTAGGGTCTGTAGATTGTATTAATGTCAATTTCCTGGCTGAGATTCTGTATATGAGAGTTATGTAATATTACCATAGGAGGAAGCTAGATAAAGGGTACATGAGACCTTTCTCTACTTTTTTTTTTTGGTAATTTTCTGTGAGCCACTTATTATGTCTAAATAAAAAGTTAAAGTCCACATATTCAGGAGGCACTTGTTTCTTCTAGCCCTACTTGAGGCAGGGGACCAGGAATGAAGGGGAAGGGGCAGGATATATACACAAATACACATAACATTTTAAAGCATGGCCCACGACAACAAGTTTTTTTTATTGGGTTTGTGCAATTCAGGTGAAGGACAAAATTGCCTCTAATCTTCTTTCCTTCCAAATTTGACTTTTAGAAAATAGATCAATAAAAAAGTGACAGCCCCAAAATAAGATTTAAGAGGAGGGAATTCATATTCGTTGGGCTAAGACCCTATGGACAAGGACAGAGTACATTTCCTAGAGAGCGGATAACTGATAGTGAAAGATCACAGACCAAAAACAAAGAAAAAGTAAAATCATGAACCCAAGTAAACAGGTTGGTCTACAAATGGGAAAGGAACATTTCTGCCTTGGGGGAAAAACAAAGGGAAAGAAGTGCCTGTATTCTTTAAAATGTCAGTTTCATAAAATATAAAGAGAGGCTTAAGAATGATTTCAAATTAGAAAACTAGCTATGTGATCCCGACCTCGATATTTTCCTGGTGATAAAATATATATATATATATATTTGCAAGTTTTCTGCAAGTCAAAAATTTCAAAAACCATTTCAAAAGGTATGCACAACCTTTCTCTTAAGAGAAAATTCTTCTTACCTAAATAGTTTATCCAGTTGTGTCAGAAGTTAAGAAAACCAAATCTGACTAGTCTAAAAGGCAAGAAAAAAAAAAAAACTTAAAGGTCATATTAACCCCCTTCACCTTTATTACGAGGCACTGATTTCAGTATATCTAGATTCATGAAGAAAAAAATGTAACCATTACCTAACTGTAAAATGTTAACCACTAACCATCTGAATAAATCACATCATCATAAATATATGTAAGGAAAGAACAATGATACCTAATAACTTTTTCCAGGATTTGATGAGAGACTTTGCCAAAGATGTAACTTCTTCATCTGTACTCTGCTTGCGAATAGCATTCACTGACATTCCGATTCTTGTGGACTGCAAGGCAATAACAAAACAATTATTTATACTAACTTCATTTTAAACAAATTAGTATTTCACCCACGTTTTCTTTCCCAGATTCCTGTTTCCATTTTAGAATTTTAAAACTTCAATTATTTGGATCCTTATAATAGCAAACCATATTCTTAAGATACACACATCTTCAGATGAGACACTAGACTCATGAATGTTCTTATCACCAAGATCTAGAAGCGTAAAATTCGCTACTGTAATAAGTTTGGTTAACTAGAAAATTGAAGCCAGTCTTTCCACAAAGGAGAAGTGAAGATAAATGAGGATAAAATATAAAATGTTGTATATAAGTCAGGCTGAAGCAATCATGACTAATATATGCATTTCTTTGTTTCTATACATTCTACATGGATTACTTCATAGAGCGCCAGCTGCAAATTATGAGGATATCCAAACAAAAACTACCACCTATGGAGTTTTAAAAGGCTTTATTTTTTTATTTTTATTTTTTGCTGGGAATCAAAATATAATCACAGACATTAAAATGGACTTCACTAAATACAGGTAGAATTTAACCTGCGATGATTCTACATGCCTGGAATTATGCTTAGAGCATCCACATTTATCAATCTTTCTAACAACCCTTCAAAGTTAAGATTATCTCTATTTTAAAGATGAAGAGATTAGAAGTACCAATAAATAATGTACCTAGCATCATACCACTACTACTGACCGGCAAAGCTGGGATTTTTTTTTTTTGAGATGGAGTCTCACTCTGTAGCTCAGGCTGGAATGCAGTAGTAGCACAATCTTGGCTCACTGCAACCTCTGCTCTCGGGTTCAAGTGATTCTCCTGCCTCAGCCTCCCAAGTAGTTGGGATTACAGGCACAGGCCACCTTGCTTGCCTAATTTTTGTATTTTTAAGTAGAGACAGGGTTGCACCATGTTGGCCAGGCTGATCTCAAACTCTAGACCTCAGATGATCCACGCACCTCGGCCTCCCAAAGTGCTGGGATTACAGATGTGAGTCGCTGGCCCAGCCAAAAGCTGGGATTTTAGTCCAGGTTTGTCCATTGCCAAAGTCCATGGTCTTTCTAGCACATCAATGATTTCAAACAGTGCTCAAAGAACACAAAGTTATGATAGCATAAGTATGGATGATAAATAAAAAACAGTAAATTAGTAAGTTCAGGTGTTAGCAGACAATCTTTCAAATACACAATTTGTGGAAGAAAAATATAACGAAAGGAATTCTTAGTTGCGAAAAAAGAAGAGAACCCTTGCTATAAGCTTTATGGCAGAAAAATATTGGGTACTTGAGATTTCCTTCTAAATTATTCAATCCTCTCAACAGAGACAGACTCAGGATCTAAGTTATGTTCAAGAATTTAGAATATGTGGTTGGCTGGAGTGTCCTGTATCTCTTAGAAAGCCAGCAAGGCAGATAAGATTGAACAGCAGAAAGATAAAGGGACTCCTTTTTTAAAGGTACTCAAATTTTAAAGCCCCAAACAATTTGGGGTTAACAAGGCTAGTTTTCTAGGAACATAGTGTAGTTCTGAAGCTTAGAACGGACACTAATTTGCAAAAAAAAATAAACTGGCATTTTAGTAGGTGCTTGCAGGAGAGCAAAGGTGTAAGGAAATAATGAATAAATTGTGCTGCTGGGTGACTACTTTTTTAATGATCAGAGGATGTTCTGATTACTAAAAAGTCACTGATTATCCCACTTGGCCGCAAATAAAACCCATAATGAGAATACAGCTATCTGTAATAAACACGCTTATCTAAGAAAGAGACTGTCAAGTCAAAATAATAAGAAATCAGGCTGCCGAGGTAGAATGAAAAGCAAAGATTTGAAATAAGTTTTTCTTTTTTCCTTTGGGGGTACTATGGAAAAAAATGAAAAAAAAAAGTAGACAGAGGAAAAGATTACGAAGCTATTTACTTGGATAAGCAAGTCTGGAGCTGCCACCAAGAATTCCCCAGGGATTTTTCCTGAAATTGGTATGTTATGGCTTACAGGATGTAATAAGTAGGTTATAAGAAAATATTCTGTTCGCAAGTGACCTTAGGAATTGCAGGATGAAAACTGTTTTCTTGACTGCAGGACTAATGAAAGCTTTTGAGACAAACTACACATTGTGAAACTCTAGCAGATAAAACATGTGTCTTTGCCCATGATTTCTATAGAACATCAGGTATGCAGAAAGAAAGACATTACCTTGGAAATGTGGAGAGTGCATTGAGCAGCCTTAGGGATCAGCTGCACACGGATGGTAAAGCAGAAAGGAATGAGTACTGAGATCAAGAGACACTGTTAACATCACAGGAAACAAGCAGATTTGGTGTGCTCCAGATGAAAAGTCTCCTTCGTGATCACTCATGAGTTTTTGCCAAGATGATCTGAAAGTAGCCACTAAATCTTAAGGTAAAAAACATATAGCTACTACATAGCTACTATAAAACACATATGCAAAACATACATTAAAAACACAACACACACATATATAAAAGACAAGATAAAGAAACACACAGCTACTATAAAACATTGTTGAAAGAAATTAAACATGACCTAAACAAAATTTTAAAATCCCATGTTGATAGACTGGAAGACTTAAATGTTAAGATTGCAATACTAATCAAATTGAACTACTGACTCAATGCAATGTCTATCAGAATCCCATCTGCCTTTAGTGCAGAAATTGACAAGCTTACCCTGAAGTCCATACAGAAATGTAAAGGACCCAAACTAGCAAAAAAACCATCTTGAAAAAGAAGAACAAAGTTGGAACACTCACAATTCCCTATAGTAACCAAGATAGCATGGTACTGGCAACAGGATGGACATGCAATGGGATAAATTTAACACTCCAGAAAATAAACTCCAACATTTTTCATCAACTGATTTTAGATAAGGATATCAAGACAATTCACTGAAGAAAAGGATATTCTTTTCAACAAATGGTGCTGGAACAACTAGATATCCACATGTAAAAGAACAGAACTGCCAGGCATGGTGGCTCATCCCAGCACTTTGGGAGGCCAAGACCGGTGGATCACCTGAGGTCAGGAGTTTAAGACCAGCCTGGCCAACATGGTGAAATGCAATCTCTACTAAAAATACAAAAGTTAGCCAGCACAGTGGTGCATGCCTGTAATCCCAGCTACTCGGAAGGCTGAGGCATGAGAATAACTTGAACCCGGCAGGTGGAGGTTGCAGTGAGCCGAGATCACACCACTGCACTCCAGCCTGGGTGACAGAGCAAAACTCTCTAAAGAAAAAAAGAATAAAGCTGAACCTCTTCCTTACACCACACACAGAAATTAACTCGATATGAATAGGAGTAAAGCTTCATGACCTTGGATTAGGCAATGGTTTCTTAAATATGACACCAAAGGCATAAGCAATCAAAGAAAAATAGATTACATCAAAATTTAAAACTTTGTGCTTCAAAAAACATCATCAAGAAAGTAAAAAGATAAGTCACAGAAAAAGAGACAATATTTGCAAACTCTGTATCTGATAAGGGACTTGTATCTGGAATATATAAAGAATTATTACAACTCAGTAAAAAATGGACAACCCATTTTAAAAATGGGCAAAGGATGCAGATAGACGTTTCTTCAAATAAGATATAAAAATAACCAACAAGCACATGAAAAGATGTTCAACATCCTTAGAGAATTTATGGAAATAGAAATTAAAGCTACAGGCCGGGCACAGTGGCTCAGGCCTGTAATCCCAGCACTTTGGGAGGCCAAAGCGGGCGGATCACATGGTCAGGGGATTGAGACCATCCTGGCTAACACAGTGAAACCCCATCTCTTTTAAAAATACAAAAAAATTAGCTGGATGTGGAGGCACGTGCCTGTAGTCCTAGCTACTCAGAAGGCTGAGGCAGGAGACTCTCTTGAACCCAGGAGGCAGAGGTTGCAGTGAGCCGAGATAGCGCCACTGCACTCCAGCGTGGGTGACAGAGTGAGACTCTGTCTCAAAAAAAAAAAAAGAAAAAAATTAAAACTTCAATGAAATACCACTATACCCACCAGAATAGTTATAATCAAAGACAAACAGCAACAAGTGCTCAAGGGTTTGCAAGGATGCAGAGAAACTGGACCCCTCATTTACTACTACTGGGGATATAGAATGGTACCGTGGTTTTGGAAAAGAGTCTGGCAGGTCATCAAAATGTTAAACACGAACTTACCACATAAACCAGCAATACCACTCCTAGATATCTACACAAGAACAAAGAAAACATATGCTCACACAAACTTGTACATAATCATGCCTAGCAGTGTGATGTGTAACAGCCAAAAAAGTCTAAGCCCAACTATCCATCAACTGACAAACGCATAAACAACATGTGAAATATCCATGCAACTGAATATTACTCAGTCATAAAAAGGACTGAAAATTCTGACATAAATGGCAACAAGGATGAACCCTGAAAACATTAAGCTAAGTGACAGAACCAGACATCAAAGGTCACACACATACTGTATGACTCCATTTATATGAAAACTCCAGAACACGCAAATCACCTATAGAGACAGAAAGATTCGTGGTTGCCTAGGCTGGAAGGGGGAAGCAGTTGGGGCGAACGGAGAATGACTGCAGAAGGGCATGCCATTGCTTTTTGGGATGATGAAAATGTTCTAAAGTTCACTGTGGTGACAGTAGCAGAATATACTAAAAAACAATGAATCATACACTTTAAATGAGTGAATTGTATGGTATGTGAATTACATCTCAAAAATACTGTTTTTAAAAACAGAAACATAAAGCTATGTTTAGTAACCTTTTAATAAGTTCCAAGAGGGCAGGGACTTTGGCTTGTTTGCCACTAGAGTAAGCATGTACAATAATATCTAGCACACAGCAGGCACTTAATAATTATTGAATAAATTAATCTGTTATATAAAAAAACTTACAAAACTAGACCAACATATTACTAGCCCAAATATGTCTTCCTGTTTACTTCCCCACCTTCAACCCATACCCACCTTCTACTCTCTC